ACGACACCATTGTTGCTTTCAGTGTAAATATATTTGATTGGAGATTATATTTTTGCATAGTAGAATAGTTTATTTTGATACATTAAAAAAATGCGAAACAGTCAACACTTACCGGTAAATCAGCTTGAGCCCACGTATCATGACTGTCCGGGAAGTAGTACCAGTGGACGAGGACATGGTTACCTTTTCTGAAGACCGGCCTTGCATATTCTTCTTCCAGCGGGTCAACTGCTGGATATATTATGTGGGTCGCGTCTTCTTCGTCATCTGTTATATCAATTACAATTTTATTCGCCTGAATAGTTCTATTAAACGACTTTTTAAAACTTCTAAGCCAGCATCACCATTATCACCAACCAGATGTTTAGTGTTCGGGAGCGTTCAAGTATTACGTAACGAATTTGGGGGGAGGGTCCTTTTGTAAAACTTGAACGCTACCTTAGGTGTATGGTGTTTTAGTTTTTTTAATGTCTTAAATTACATGAAATAAAAGGGATTACCCTAAGATATAAAAAATTTCCCTCAGTTTTTAAGATGAAATTTTTTTTTAATATTACATATTATAATATTTTTTTTTGTCTTATATTTGCTAGATTAAATAAAAATTACATGTTTTATTAAAATTGGTATTTTTTAATAAAAATTTTATAATAATAATAATACGATAGTTAACCTCAATTGTATTGAAATTAAGGTGGGAAATTGAAGGTTGATGAGCACAGTTTTTTCACAAATATTAATTATATTGGTTTAAATATTCAATTTAAATCATTCTGATTATAATTCAAAAAGCATTGTAAATTTCTTTGAAAAAATAATTAAAACTCCTTTATTTGTTTAAAAGTAAATACAAATGTATTATGTCATTCAAAATTCTTGGCATACGAACTTCACGCATATTCTATTTCTTTTTACTTGTAGATTGTCTTATTCCTATCTCGCTCCCCTATATCACCCTAATTTTGTGTCACAGGTGCGGATTATAAAATTCACCCCAAAATTTTTCATAACGCGCCTAAAAAGTATAACTTCAATAAAAACAAGTTACAATAGCATTTCATGCTCTTCCAAAATCATGGTAGACCAACTAGAAAAACGCGTCTCACTTTTTCATTTACACGGACCACGATTTATGATGATGATTCATCGCATGAATAAAAGAAACGAAAAAAACATCAAAGTCAACGATATAAAAAGGTATAAAAGGCATTGACAATATAGATTTTACAATGGACAGAATAAAATACACTTTTTATACTATTTTAAAAAACTCACCGCATATTTCAACTTGATGATTGCTAATGATATCCTTAACTTTATTAGCAGTGGCCTTATCGACTTCGGGGCGTATGTAGATACATGGTGAACGGATCACTTCAGCGGTCAGAAGAGCTGACTCTATTTCCATCATCATCTGAACGTTCAGGTCTTTCCGAGACGGGTTCTGCAAAGGAAATATTGGGGAAAGGGAAGAAAAGGGGCCTAATTAATTTTATCTTATCGATGGTCAATTGTCAAGCCTGTCAATGTCATATTGACAAAACGGGTTTTTATTCAGAATACAAGTGTTTAGTTTTTAAAATAAGAATTGTGTATTAGGATTATCAATAAGGATTGAAAATATTAAAGCTATACTTTTACTATGGACTATAAATGTAAATCACACAACTATTTTGAAAACAACACATGCACACAAGGGTGAGTCATATTACCCAGATTAGTGACAAAACAGAACACAAATATGATTTACAATATTTACATTTAAAACAAACCCATACCTTTAATGACCCTGCGTGAAATGAAAAGTAGGAGACCCGAGAAATGATATTTTTCTTCTAGAAATCTAGGTACCTAAAGACTATGTTTCTGAGAGAAGATTGGGACCAAACCGACTTCAAAGGTTTTTTTTCTACAATTAAATATTATTTATTACTTCATTTCTCTTAAACCTTCATATCGCTGAATTCTATTGGATTTAGCATAAAAAATATGAAAAGTTTAAAAAAACTTTTACTTAATTTGAAGTCGGTTATATTAAAAATATACCTATGCTATACTTGTGGAAGAATCTTGATAAAAATTTTGTGTAACAAGCCATTATATCCATTTTCTTTCATCCCAATAATTGAATGAATAAATGAAGCGCAATAATGCCGTTCAAGAATTGTATGCAATGTTTACACTTGAAAACTTGAATGCAATTATTGTATTAAGTATTGACAAGGAAATAATTCACATGCCTTTGTTTACACCAATGCAACTATTTTAAGGAGATTATTGCTTTCAAGTTTTGACTTGTCTAAACACAGGCTTGTACGTGCGTATACCTTTAATGGCGCTTTCCTTCAAATATTCCCCCTATTTGCATTGACAAATTTTTCATTCAAGTTTAAATATTTTAGAAAGTATTGAGTTTAATATGTAAATATTAATGTAATAAAGGCAGGTAAATTTGTCACATGTAAAGAAAAGTTTTAGTTTAGAATATAAAGAATACCTGTTTGAATTTTATATAAAAAATAGTTTTGTTTTTTGTTTTTAGTATTTATTCTAGACGCAGATAGTGTAACATCTTTGGCTCTTTATAAACATAAATTATTGTTTTTTTTAAAATAGACCCTCACCACCAGAGCTCAGTCTTCTTAAAAGATTAGAACCATCCAACAGAGAGGTATGAATATGAGTAAAAAGGTGTTTAAATTCAGTTCTGTGATATAATAAAGTTCATTGAGATTTATCGCAGTCATGAGTGTTTATGGGATACCGAAAATGTAAATTATAAGAACCAATGCACGTATATGCTGCGCTAGAGGAATTTGAACCAGAAAACAAAAAAAAAAATTTTTTTTTTTTTTTTTTTTTTTCCCCCCCCTTCACTCACTGCACTCATGTTTGCAAATGAAGAGATAATTGCGTACAAGAATTGCGTAAATATCTGTTTACAAAATAGTTTTGAAAGGAAACTTTTCCCATTGATCAAGAATGTTAGTTTTGTTTAGACTATGCAATTCATTTATTGCGTTGATATAATTGTATGCTACAGGCAAGAAAATGGCATCTGTAAATGGGCCTTAAAGTGTAATAATGTATATGTTAATTCATACCATAAATCGTGCTTTTGGAATGGCCAACGCGACACTCAATACAAACCATAGACATATGTGTAAACATTAATTTTAAATTATTATTTCAACAATATAAAGAGCGTTATACAAAAAAGTTACGAGAGGTACTAAAAATATAGACAACTCTAATTAAATCTATACAAGAATGAAGTAATGTTAGATAGCGTATTTATTAACATAAATAACAATAGAAAATATTTATTCTTAAAGATTCGTTTGAAATAACATGAAGAGCTTCTTAGTCATTTATATAACAGCATATGTGTTGTTTGGTTTTATACTTCTTTGTCTACTTTGAAAAAATGAATACGCTATTAGTTTGTAGAAGTGTCACGCTAGCATTGTTAGCCTGTGGGGGTCGGCGTGAGAGGCAGCGTGCGAACGGGTGCATACCTTACCGACCTGGAAGTCGAACTTGCGCCACCGCTGCTCCGACTTGAAGCGGAACATGGTGGCTAGCACTGTGCACAGCGAGCCACCCGGCTTCATGTCCATGAACACTTTCATCTGAAAATACGCTCTTTTAAATAAGAATGTTTATTTATGTATTTCCATATCATAGTACTCTTTAAATAGAAGTTAATTTTAAGAACCATTTAGATTCATTCTCGTTATCTGCTTAAGAATATTTAGCGATCTAGTGCAGTGGTGCTGACAAATGTTATCATTTGCATTACAGCCTAAGGTGATGAATTCATTTATCATTATATAATCTTTAACAGTACATATGACATGTATCTTTAACAGTATACGTGCTATCACAGGATTCATATATATTCGAAAAATTCATGAGTACGTAAAAAAAAAGCTAAAATTTATAAAATGTTGGTTTCTATTTGTAAATTAATAAATGCATTCGAGCTTATTTGTGTATTAAAATAAGGCAATTTAGCATTTTCCTTATATCGAACATTAATATTTGAAGGCCATGGAACAAAGGGGTTATAAAAAGATATTTTACTACATATCTGGCAAGGAACCCATAAAACTTTCCAAATATGTTTCAGAAATTGTTTGCAAAATAATCGATCGCCATTTTGGATGATTGCTATAAATCATAACCATTGTTTGATTCCTTCAAGCAATCGATTGTCCTACTAACCTAAAAAGAGCAATTTCGAATTTATATGTTGTATATCTAATAGTTAATAAAAAACTACAGACGCAACGGAAGGGCCCGATCTAAGAAATAAAGAACAAGGCCGTGATCACAAACCATTTCGAGTTTATATCTCTTTGACGAAATAAAGATATCTTTAAGTACTTTAAGATATGTCAATGTGAATGTTATCTTAACGTACCAATATTTGGAAAACTATAATGTGTTGTCTTTACTCAAAGGTATTCAATGTTTCCTGAATAATTCTAAATGTAATTGTTGTTTTGTCAAAATATTATAATGTCTAAAAAATAATACACAATGATACACTAAAGTAACAAAGAAATTAATAACTATCTATTTGAAATAGTAAAAGCTACGACTGATTTAATTTTTAAGAAAAAGTGATCAAACTTTTTACACATTGCCTACTACTACAAAATACGCAGCTTCGCAAAGAATTTTTTTTATAGGAAACTAAAAACGAATGAAGAATATTAAAGAAGCAATTTATAAACATAATTAAATGCTTAAACATTTTCCTTACAATTCTATCATATTACATTATAATGAATGCAAGAATATCTACTATAGTGTATATAAAAGTTGCGTGGTTTCTCAACCAAGTGACATGACCATGGGAAGTTGTTTTTGCTCTATCTCTGTCGACGAAACTAAATACAATTCGTTCGATTTCATCAAGCGACGGACGTGTTGCATTGTGTGAACTTTTCCTTAATATTTTTTTTCGACGCTAGCTCATATTATTAGTGAATATGTGGTTTTATTTAAGCTGTGCTATTGTATGTATCATTTCAGCGAATGGATATAAATCTTCGACACCATTTATAAAGAATGTAAGTTGAGGGTCGCTTTATTTTACAAATCATTATATTGATCGAAATTATTTAGGATTTTTGTTAATTAAGTTTTCTTGATCTAGAATTAATAAACTTAGTTATTATAAAAAAAACAATAGTAAGAACTTTTTAACTGGCGATGCCCACGTCTTATATCAAAAATAACATTTGCAATTGCTACGAAGAGTTCAAATTTGACGGTCAAATTCCCATTCTTTAGAAAAACCTACGAATCAGAACATTCGTGTGTGGTTCCAATTCGATTCTGATTAGAATGAAGACAAAACCTGATATTCTAACCATTGAAAAAAAAGGTAAGAAATATCATTAAAAGTAACAAAACCGCAATTCCAGTTAGTACGTGGCGGAGACCATTTCGAAGGTCCACATTGGGCTGACAAAGAAAATGCTTTATACTGGACAGATATAAGCGAGCAAAAAATCTACAGGCTCGATGCAGAAACCGGAAACGTGACAATACGGGAAATAGGTATGCTTGCTAGTGAAGTAATAAAATTTCTTTCGGCGATAATTCTAAATAAATTATGCACGCGTTGATGTAAGAATGTATAAGAAATAAAACAAATATCTTTATTAGTTTTTGTAGTACATTTGGACGGATCGCTTTCGAAGACAATAAATATTTTGTACTACATGTAAAGGGACCATAGGTGTGTATGGCTCAAATAAACAAAGCTTTAATAGGTATTAACTGTCATGTAATCATTATCATGTAACTTGAAATTAAAACGACAACATTTTTAGTCAAATTTTAAGTAAGAAAAATACCTGCCAATATTGCCATTTTTTGTTTACTAATCACTATAAAATACACTCGAAATTTAAGCTGGTGAGCCAGTGAGAGTGTTGTAAAGCATTCAAAACGTCGTGTTGTGTAAATAATCTATAGATTTTGCGTTTATTCATGAAAGCAGTTTCATTTAAATGTGTATTCACGTATATCAAAGATAATTTAATTTTTGCAGTATACGGTCCCGTATCATTAGTAGTCACCGTTAAGGACTACCCGAAGTTGATATTAGTATCATCACGAGCTGAGCTCTATCTACTATCGTGGGATTCAGAACAAGGAGACAGTGCCTTGAGGTTGTTAACAGCTGTGGATTTGGGCAAACCTGACAACCGCATTAATGATGGCAAAGTTGATAGCAGGGGAAGACTGTGGTTTGGTAACAACTTTTTTTAATAAAAATCGTCAATAGAATGGAGACACTTTTTAAATCTCCGTGACACTAACCGTTTTTATTTAATGAAAGATTGATCAGTTGCACTCGTAAGTACTTAAAAGCCTAAATTAAAAATAAAAACTGAATAGGTAGTTAATTTTAAATTGTCTCGTCCTATGAAGGTTATTTTAATAGTCATAATTGAAAAATAAGAGAAAGAATTATTAAAATTCTAGGAACTATGGGCAAGGAGGATGAAAGTGGTGTAGAGAAAGAACAAGGTACACTTTATATGCTAACAAAGGAAAACTACATCAACCCAGCAGAGAAAGTTATGCCTGTATCAATATCTAATGGCATTGCATGGACTTCAGACGATTTGTTCATGTTTTACATTGATTCTGTATTGAGAAACATTCAAGTTTTCGATTATGACGTGGATACTGGTTCTATACGTAAGTAGATTCTTTCATAATCCGTAACAGTCTCAATATGCTTTATATTATTGATAAAATAGATTGTTATGCAACTGAATGATAAAGATTTGTAAATTTGAATTCCATTACACCTCAATTTCCTAAGATTGCTTTATGATCTCAAGTAGGTGATCAACCTTCTGTGCCCTACTGACTAAATCAAATATTATTGAAAAGGAATCAAACCCAGCCATGTTACAAATGCTTGCAATTTTTATTTACTGTACAGATTATTAATTGTTAATGTGGAAATGTATATTTCAATGATTAAATTTGATGATAATAGAGAAAAAAGTATTTCAATGGTTTCTTCGTAATGATACTTACTTTAATAACATCATCATCTAACTTAAAGTTACGTTAAAATACGTTTTTTCATATGACTAATCACTTGACCCTCACAATAATTATTACACAAGAAAGAACAATAACTTGTTAACAACATAGTATAGTCATTTTTATTGCAATTATAGATCTAATTTAATTATAAGGTATATAGTACTGTTATATTAATGATCCTTTATTTTGAAATACTTTATATTTTTTTATTATTTAGAGATTATTAATACAAAGTATATTTTATGAAAATTGTAGGTAACAGAAGAACTTTATTTGATTTCCAAGTAAACAATGTCACTGGAGTTCCCGATGGTATGACTATTGATACAGATGGAAATCTTTGGGTTGCCTGCTTTGATGGCGGAAAGGTAACTTGTAATGCAAAATAAAATTATTTTTAAGAACTAGTTAACTTGAAGTAAAAGAATCTTAAAATTAATTTAAAACTCAAAATTACCATTTCGTAAATAAGCATTTAGCTAATATTTTCTTAAAATATATTACGTATATACAAAACACATATTTGTGTAGCAAAAACTTAAATAATAAATTTCATTTCTCTTTATGCAAATGTGTTAATATGATTTTATTTTAATCAGGTTATTAAAATAGATTCAAGAGCTGGAAAGCTTTTGGAGCAGCACAAAATGCCTGCTAGCAAAGTGACGTCAGTAGTATGGGGCGGACATAACTTTGCGACATTATTTGTTACTACAAGTAAACGGAGCCTCAACTCTATGCAACTAGCTCAAGAGCCTGAAGCAGGATCACTCTTTTCAATTGAAAACACTGGATCTAGAGGATATCCAAGCAATCAGTTCATTTTTTCAAATGCTGATTTATATTGATATAAATAAAAAATTAAATAATAATTACCGTTGAGCAAATAAATAAATAATATAAAAAAAAGTTTTATATATTATTTAAAGGTTATGTTTGTTTTATTGTGCATCATGGTTTACTTATTTCAGTGTATTTCTTGTCTATATAGCAACAATTCGTTTTTATATTCAGACTTTTTCACATAGGTTCTTAATCTATACCTTGAAAGTAATAACTTTGGGTTATGAATTAAGTAGTTTTTTGTCAATTATGAGTTATCTACTTATTACATTTTATTTTCTACATATTATCTACTCACTACTAAATACACCCACACCTAGCATGTTGGTCCTGGTACATAAAGTCTTATAAAATATAAAGTTATCCTTTCAATTACATGTTATTTTATGTGACAAAGATCAATATTCATATTGTAAATTTTGGCTTTTTCAAAAATGGTTTGATAGCTCTTAAAACCACATTTAAGTTTGATTGACGATTTATTTAAGAAATATTTAATTATTAATCTTAACCTGTAAGATTCCCTATAGGTTATGATTTTGAACAACAAACATTGGTATTGTTGAAAAGTACAGCCCTAAATTTGTCTTGTTTAATTTATCCAGGCATCTTGATACCGATATGAGAAAACATAAACTGCATTCCCAATTTTATAATGCTATACTAATCAACAGTAATGAAAATAAAAAATCTTATATATAGAGTAAATCTTACCGGAAGCCTCAGAAAAGGTGGATCTGCAGCATTTTTACCTAGTTTATTTTCTTGGTATTGAATTAGTTGAATAACAAGTTGTGCTAAGCCTTCTTTGGTTGGTGGGTCAGTTTGAACATGCTGAAAATAAATAGCTTTGAAAGGAGGGCAATAAGATGTTTTTAGTTATGTATAGTGAATTAACACTTGACGATTTTTAGTTGAAAGAATACAATCTATCATCTGTACTACCAAAACACCATTGAGTAAAATAACCCATCTAATTACCTTTTTGCAGTTCTTTTGCAACCACACACGAATTTGATCGAACTGTGTTAGGCATTCCGATGATTGAAAGAAGTCCACATTAGGACCCCCATCCTTCTTAGGACCCAAAGTAGTCATGTTTTTTATTTACTTCCAACTACAATACTTTACTTTCTGTTATAATATTGTTAAAATTGACTGATTATATATATAATTAGGAAATAAGGTGTAAGTTTGTTATTCTATAAACACCAAACTTAAACTATAAACCCGGAGAAATTGACACAATATGCAAGCGTCGCTTCAAAATAGCCTATGACATATAATTCTGACAGTTAACAAAAGGTAGAAATGTCAATCAATAAGCAATGGTATCCACAGACAATAGGAACAGCCATAGAAAGATAATAAAGAATAAACTAAATTCAGATGAAAGCAAAGCAGGATTCAAAAACAATGCTAACCATCAAATTCAACGAGTGCGAACGGATTTGTTTTTCTACTTGACGAAATGTTACTTCTCTTTGATTTATATATCAGTAGAAGCCAAAAGTACTATAATATGATTAATTTATAACCAAAATTAATATTTAAGAAAAACAAACTACCCCCGTGTGGTCGCATTCTCCCAGTGGAGAATCGATGAGCTCTGAGCGGTGTTAAATTTAAATGTATCTGAGATTTTGCGCCCACATTTTAAATACTTAACAATCATTTAGTTCACATGTATCTAATTAATTCACACTATTTCTAATTTCTGTTTTAATGACTACAACTGAAAGTGTGCTTTCTCAGATTTCCCAACAATGGTAAACCCAAATTATTTTAGGTAATAATAAAACAATATAAATCATACAACGTTTATTGAACACCTAGATCTATGCCAAATCTCTCAAATTCTAACAACCGCAACATAATCTAAATTATCCAGTTCAGTTTGAAATCTATGTAACAGCTATTCAATATGGACATGGTCTTATGGACTCCAGTAATTGACGACATTCAAAACAGCCAAATGTATTGTCTTGGTAAAGGAAGATTTATATAAAACTAAATGCAAATTTAATGCTATAAGGAATGTTACAAGCAAATATATAGTTAATTTCCACATTAATCAATGAACAAGGTCTATGTCAATTTAGCGTGTATTATGTATTATTCCTGTTTTTAAAAAATGCGCTCCTAATACGACGAAAAAATATACTCATATGCTCTGAGCAAATATATGTTTACAAGTATGTAACACATTAATTCAGTCTCTGTTTCATACTTTAAAGGTGTTCAAATTTCTATTATTTCTATGGCCACTGTAATATTGTCAGTTACTTTATAAAATAAAAGTAACAAGCATTATAATATGACTAGCTTTAGCACGATAGGTACACATTTATATTTGAACTGGATATTTGACTTATTTAAATATGAATTCATACAAATGCATAATTTAACAATTGACACAGAGCACCATACACAAACCAAATGGGTTTAATTACCAAATTTGTTGAGATTCATTTATTCACAAAGTTCAATTTATTTAATAAATCTGTAGTAAAATTTAGGTCACAAATATTCAATGTTAGCTATTTAATACTTCAAGTAATAATGTGGTTTGTGTATGGTTTGATTTAGAACCGTAGCTAGATTCTTGACCTTTAAGATAAGTTTAGTATAATTTGTTGTTGAAAATAAGGCCTAGCTACGATAATGTTATTGTATAGCTTATCTATTTTTAAATTCCAATATGACGGAAAAAGCTATGTTTTTTAAATGCCATTGATTCCCCAGATAGGCTATACAATAGCAACACTTAATTACTATCAATTTAAACATTTATTGTCAACATCATAATTGAATATTATTTTAGATATAATGATAACCATTCATGATAATTTAAAAATTTAGCAACAAAATATCACGATCACATCGTCTTTAAGGCTAATTTGTCAAATATAAAAGATGTGTGTAGCTGCAAATAACAATAATTATTATATAATAAGACTATACGCAAAGATACGAATTTATAATTATTTAATATAAGGAATTTATAATAAGGACTAACAAAAAAAACAGCGTATTATATTTAAAAAATAAATATTTATAAGTGATCAATTCTAAATCTAGCCACAAAAATTGACATTTCAAATAATATCGTATTTTATTTGAATTTTAATAATGCTTTCTTATTAAAAAGAAAATATCCTAAACTGAACAGAGTATAAAATACGCCTCCATATTCCAATTCCTTTTATAGCCGAAGTTGTTTTACGTGGACTTGTTTTTTTTTTAATGAATAAAACCGCGGACATATTGTTCGCTCAAGGTCAACAGCCTTATGCAGGCTATTATGCAGGTTATATAGAAGCACAAACCACTTTCATTTGGTCATGTCGATAATATTAAATTGAATAAAACGAAAATTTTACAGTTAAAACAGTGAGCATTAAATTATAATTTCGCTAGATCTATTATATATAATTTCTGAGCTTAAACTAAAATTTAAAATAAATTGAGCTAGAAAATTGTACTAAACTTTGTCAGCAACATGCTTTTGTCATTTAATAAAAAAGAACATATAAATATTAAATAGGGCATAACAATAAAATAATTTAACGCAACAATACATTTATCAAAATAAACTATAATTACAAATAAATAAATTAGTATAGATAATAATAGTGATGAAATCTACTTTCATAGACAACAAAAACGTGTTCTCATTTTTGACGTTTCGGAAAATTTTATGGGTCAGGAACTAAAACACGCAAAATCATATTGTGTTGTTAAATACCAACTTTATGGCGTCTATGTCCGTACCAGGTTTTTTTTGTAACTCTCGGTAGTGACGTAGTATAAGTTCGTCATATTCGTAGGCGAATATTTAAAATCCTTTGACATAAAAGACGAGGAACTAGCATTTATTATATTTAGTACCGAAATGTGGATGTTACATATGAATTTAAAAGTAAAACTTTAAATTTGACTTAAAGTAAATCGACTCAAAATTACTGAGAACACATTTCTTTCAATTTGTTAAATTTTTGGGATATATTTAGAAACGAGACTTAGCGCTACGTACGTCAAAAATGCATTAGATTTTGACATACGGGACACATAGTTCGCGGTAAGTCTTCTTTGTTACCTTAAGTGATTCCAGTAATCAGCACGATTAAATGAGTTACCAAAATTAGATTAGTCAATGACACTATGTTGCCAAGTAGTTCTTCAAATATTCATAGTATTGTTGTAGTATAGATGTCCAACGTCACTACCCCATTTGCACATAGGTTTTACATTTTTGTAGTTTAAATTATACACATAAATAGTTTAAATAAGCAAAATAAATAGTTCACTAAAATTGGGTCGAAATTAAATGCACTGAAAACTTAAAACTTATTTGTGTAAATTTATTTAATGCCTAGGTAGTTCTCGGCTAGACCTAGATAATAGATGGTTTGCGCAATTCCGAAGAGCGGGGCTATGACAATCATACGACACGCCCCGCCTTTGAAGAAGGCGGTTGGCCCTTCAAACTTTAGGGTTTTCCTGAAAATTTATGACTAAATTTTAGAAAATAGTGTTTTGAGGAATGAAAACGGGGTAGCGGATGTTATGCGAACTAATATAATCCTTATTTGTTACGCGATATTTAATTTTTCATAAATTAACGATCAAAATAATTCTTGTAAATAAATGTTGTCAGTGTAACAACCGGCAAGCAAAGTTTTTTGCTTGCCGGAACTGACCTTCAATATAATTCAATTGCGTGAAACTACAATGGCGGAACTATAATTTTATAAGCGTCTCTAAAGTTCTCATTTTATCCTTAATCTACCTCAATCAGTATCATAATAGTGTTTTAACCTATTTTTTTTCATTACAAAATAAAAGTAATTTCACAAAAAGATGCTATTTTAATGATTAACCAGCCTTAGTTAAGGTGATTCAACATATTTAAGGTGGTTCATTTCTAAATTATGACTTAGCTACTAGGAGGTCGCTTGTCAGTGTCGTGTTTTGTTTGATACATTCAAATTCTATACGAAATTAGCGAATATTTAGTGTAATATACTCACGTGATACAATCTAGGATGGAGGTGTACTGTCTTTCGCCACTTCCCTTTGTCAGAGTCTGCATTCGAGTCTTTACAACGTCGAAGGGGTTAACTGCGAGCGCGGCCGTTGACCCAGCCGCACAACCCGATCCGAAGGACCACCTAAAATATTTAATGAAAATAATCTCTTTAACACATAAAGGACGTTTTATTCAAATTTATAGAGGCGTTAGGCTACCTAAGGCCAAATTTTTACTAACACATTAAAACTCTTAAAGAGAATTTGCTGTTTTTGTCAAAACGATATTATAGCAATATCGTGCCAAAAGTGAAAGATATAATTGTTTAATTAATAAAATATAGAAAAGAATTAAAATTCTATTTAAATTATAACTTTTTGCCTTATAAAGTGAATTAGAAGTGTAATATAGCTATTATGACACTTCTAAATCACGTTTATAGGCTGTGTCAGCTTTAACTTTGACCATACATGCTGAATTAAAATCTCATGATTATTTATATATAATCTGTGGACAAAATACGGTAAAATTTTGCGGTGCACTATAAGCTTGACACCTGCATGGTTACATTTGTGTAACTAGTTATTACTATCAAAAGTCGATCAAATAAATTATATGCTTGTCTTATTAGTAACAATAATTTACAATTACAGTGGATTTCGCGTATAACGACGATGAATGGACGACTCTGATTTCGTCGTTATATCCGGAAGTAGTTACAGGCAATGATTGAGATAAAGACACGAACATGTGTATAGTTGAAATTACTTTATTATTTTGCACAAACATTTGCACACATAGTTATTCACTGGTACATTAAAAATAACTCAGAATATCACTTTGAAACTGACCCATAAATTAAATTCCGAAACGTAAAGCCTTACCTACCTACTTAGCTGATATCTATTAACGAAAGGTGCAGGTCTCCACAGTTGCTGACCATCTGTGTGAATGTAAACAAAAGATAAGAAATATTTGCGAAATAAATAAATCTTTGTGTCTTTGTCTTTGACTCCGGTCGTAATATCTGCATGGGATTTCTAGGAATTTGTTACAAATGATTCATTCGCTACACCCGATCTCGGCGTTACATCCAAAATCGCTATAGCCACATCAATTTTATACTAAAGTATGCTTTAAATTCGAGGGACATTAAAGCATAAATACGTATAAAGTCGTTATAGCTTAACGGTCGCTACAACCAAGGTCGTAATAAGAGCAAACCACTATATCATATTTTCGGCGTAGGGTGTTCTTACGGACAAGTATACGCTTATCGCTAGTTTTCTATAAAATAAAGCTAAAGCAAGATATTGTTAGCTTTTAATATTTATTTAATGTAATTCTAAACATATTTTATGTAACATATTCTTAAGAATCTTGCTACAAGTGCGTATGTGCAATAGTTACTCATTTGACTCGTTCGGTTGTTAGGAATCGACTCGAATAACTGCCCGATGGTCGGGTCGGAGTAGGGAATAGAATATAAAAGAGGTTGTAACAGCCTTGCGCACGGGCACTTCCTATACAGTTTTACACGTAAAATCAGTGAAGTGAATTATAGTGAATCAAGTCATCATTGGAGTGTTTGATTTCCTACCCTAAAAACTAGATCAACTAGCCCTTACATATATAAATATAAAGCATATCGAAATATATTTCGACTTCTGAAATCCTCTCACTGATAACGTAATGGCCGAATACAGCTTGCAGGTTACTTTACTACGAGTTGGGAATTATATTTTTCATATTTCAGAGTTCCCTTATGTGTATAACTGTAGGGCTTAGGGATTAAGAGCCGCATCCGGCCCGCTGTAAGATACGAATAGACGATAAGAACAGATAAAATCCAGAAGCTTACCGCAAATTGGAAAAACAGCAACAAGTGTTTCATAAACAAAGAACGTTAATAAATCAACACATCGTATAGGAATGACTGACGATAATTTGGAAGATTCTTTACGTCTTTGTATCAGTGGAATTAATTCAAATATCGATGGATTAGTTTCCCAAATTCAAGCTTAAATGTCTCATTGATTTCGGTGTCATAGTTTGTAACAATTGCAAATTTAACGATTTAATTATAATGTACCATTTTTTTAAATGTCATTTTGTTTTTTTATTAAATTGTACTATAATAACATTGTCGTATATTTTCAGGTCTAATATCTATTGCAAAAAATATTATTACTATGTACTTTAAAATGCACTGTATACTTTTAAACGTGGCCCGCGATCGTATTTGCGCGCTAAAGTTTGGCCCTCAACATGTCAAAGGTTGCCCAAATCTGCTTTATGGGAATAAATCGTGCATCTAACAAACAATCTTTCTAGTTCTATTATTATTTTTAGTTCTCTTTCTATTTAATCAGTCGTCTATCAAATGTATCAAGATAAACATCCATTTTTATAGTTATGTTGGCTAAAGTAAAAAAAATATGTAGGTATGTGTTTCTGAATTATAATGAAAAATTATTATCCTTTTATTAAAACTTACCAAAATGGTGGCGCAGCGGCACCCGGCTCTTTGGGCCCAAGATCGTTGAGTGTCGCAAATAATGGGAAATAGACAATACTGAATGACACATCTCTCGCCGCAGTTGCCGTGATACCCTTGTAAAGCCCAAAAATACCGCGCTCCGCCACCAGCTTACGAGTCAATTGCATAGCTGTGACTCGTTCGAATTTTCGGCCCTCTGAAAAAACCGCAAGAGTTAATAATAATAGTTTCGAATAGGCAGAGAAGCGTGACCACTTTGGCATATATCCTTCATATCGTGGGGTTCCGAGACACAAGCATTACTTGTCGAAAGAGTTTGAGTGAAAAAAGTTAAACGATTAATATATTTACTTATAGAATAATCTTTTGGATACTATCAGCAATATTTTTTTGTGTAATCTTTAAAATAATTCTTCATTCATAAGTCTGTAAACAGATAATTAGGTAAATACGAAGATTAAGCTTAATATCTCCATGAAGTTCTTTATAACTAACGTTTAATATATTAACACCAAATAGTATTATGTCATCCTGAAATCTGTTCTGAATCTAAAGCCCTCCTTCTAACTCGGCCAACAAAGTTAAAAGTTTCAATTGGACGCGTCAGTTTTTTTCTATAAGAAACAATGACAAAACCAACTCAAACACGGATTTGACGACTCATTGGTCTAGTGGTTAGTATCCCTGACTGCGAATCCATGGGTCCCGGGTTCGATACCCGGCTGAGACGAACATCGATGTGATGAGCATTTGGTGTTGTGCTCGGGTCTTGGGTGTTTAAATATGTATTTATATGTCTATCTATCTATAATATGTATGTATATCCGTTGCCTAGTACCCATAACACAAGCTTCACCAGCTTAGCATGGGACTAGGTCAATTGGTGTAAATTGTCTTTAAAAAAAAAATTTGTTCAACCCGCTCAACTTGCGTCTAAACTATGCTTATATAGACAAACAAATACCCGCTTTAGCTTGCGCGGCGAGTCTTCCAGCGTCCTGCATCTGAATCTTCAACAGCTCCATAGGAGTTGTGATGACAATTTGGCAAGCGCCTGCGCTGCCACCGGCGATCATTTGACGAAATACTGGCAGTGATCTGGAAAGATAATTTACCAAAGTCATTAAAAATAATTTAATGTATGAACTGAAAGTAATATCAAAATCAAGATTTGCGCTAAGTTTGAATATATGTAAGTCGTGTCTGAATTCATATAACATAGGTACGCGATTTATAGTGCACGCTAAGTCTCGTTACTGATTACCCGAGGTCCTGAGTAAGGCTTAGGTCTTCCATATGCCAGTATAATAATACTGCAATATAGATATTATATTAGGGTGTTATATTACAATATTATGTTGCGCACTTTTCAAAACCTACTCGTATTAGTTCGCGACAACTTTAAAAAATTTGAATGAGCAACAATATTGTCATTATACTAATATGCCTACGTGATTTAAATAGGTTATTTCATTGTGCTGATCTTCAGGCACACGCGACGCAATCTTGGATTAAATCCCAAGTAATATGTCGTTAATGCTAACATTAACAAAATAAAGTCTCCGTAATTGATTTGAAATCAAAAAGTTTCAACACCTTTGCCATCATGGGACCGCAGACTATAAAAAAAACACTAGTCTCAAAGTCCACATACGGAGTTTTATATATATCGATACGAGGAGAATCAATAAACCGTGGAAACTTAATATAAGGAGATAATATCCCCCTTTACGGCATAATAATTAGTATAAAATCGTATGCAGGTGATTGATTCTAAACAACTCTTAGTCTATTTCTATTACGACAATAGATTATCTTATGGCATAATAGCGCCCTCCTATAACATTTATTTAATGATTTTATTTTTATTTACTTTATAAAAACACTTATTTCCTAATAGCTGACTCTAAACTATCAAGAGTGCACAGACAAGTGAATAACATATACATTACGAATCTAATAACAAAAATAAGAATTTATTTAGTAAAAACACTCCAGTTACTAACAGGTACAAAACAAAAATTACTAACTACTAGAGTGCACAATAAGTCAATATAATTTACAGACTTTTGTCAGTTAACTAAACGGACAATAAAAGAGGTCCGTTAACCTTGTAATCGTAAACTTATACACCGAATCATAAACACAATAAAACCGAAACTGTCTACAAAAGTTGAAACAAAACATATTCAAAAATAATATTATAATCAGTAGACGACCCAATTCAATATTCGCAATATAGCGAAAGTTAAAAATAACTCTCCCTCGGCGTTCATATTAGACGGGTCACAAAGTTTTATATGATATTCGTTTCTATACTAGGTGCTACAATAACGTGTAGCTGAAAATCATGTTATTAAAATTTTAGACGGTTAATCACAGTTGCATTTAAATGTTTTCTGTCTAATTATAATACGAGGTTAAAGTACTAGGGAGCCGAGCGCTCGATTTATACTTTTTTAATATGATAATTTTTTTGGATCGGAATTCATACTATGTTCGCAGGACAATAAAAAATTTAAAACAAAAAACAAATAGTTGAAATAATCGCATTAATTAGCCATTATACTTTCCCTCAGATTCGCGGACTTCAGCGAACTGTAATGATTAAAGTCAGTAAGTAAATTGTCTTTCAATTCAGGGGGTTCTAATAAATCGAATGGACGAGCCACGAGCAAATGATTAGTAGAGGTTTTTCATTATTACAGATTTAAACCCCTGTGTAACTTTAAAACGCAGCAACGTACGACCTTAATTCATTAAGAAAATTTTTGTCGTATTGGTCCGAATTTTAATTCCTATCAATACGAAATACAATGAAATCATATACATATACTTAAGTGCCGTGTAAAATATTGTAGAGAAAGGTTACACGGCAACAACGACGGTATTAACTAACTAACTACTCCACGCTTAATAATAAGGTCATTTTTAATACGCGTTTTTCTAATATTGAAAACCAATTGAACTTTATGAAACAAGGGATAGCTAAGATTACTTTTATAAATAAAAAGCGGCAGAAGTGACGCGAGAAGTTGTTAAAAAATGTAATCTTTAATACGGCCTGGCATTGCTCCATTAAAATGTCTAGAGCGAGTTATAATAGCTGCATCATAACGAGCGCTTTGGCATAATTTTCTGAATCTATAAAGGTTTGCATAGCGGGATTTTTATTAAGCACAGCACAACGTTCAAATTAACTTTATTATCTAGATTAAAGTCACGCGTAATGTATTTTTTTTATAGAACAGGGAGCAAACGGGCAGGAGGCTCATCTGATGTTAAGTGATACCGCCGCCCATGGACATTCAATGCCAGAGGGCTCGCGAGTGCGTTGCCGGCCTTTTAAAAATTGGGACGCTCTTTTCTTGAAGGACCCTAAGTCGAATTGTTTCGGAAATACTTCAGTGGGCAGCTGGTTCCACAAATTGGTGGTATGCGGCAAACTAACTTGCAATTGATAATATACATTAGTAGATATTATATCGATGAGAGCAGTGTTGGCCTAATGGCTTCAGCATGCGAATCACTTCCTTGATTAGTTCCTCGGCTGTGCACCAAACGACATTGTCTATGTCCCGTATTTAACACTCACTCGATCGATGAAGGAAAACATCGCCAGATAAACGGGAATCCTTAAACCCTAACATTCAACGGCGTGTGTCCTGCATGGAAGGCTAAACCCCTACTTGCCTATTAGAAATAAAATCATGAAACAGATCAAGAAATCTGAGGCCCAGACATAAAAGTTGTAGCGCGCCACTGGTTTTAGATATTTTGAAGGCAGAAAGAAAATAAAAGTATGCGATGTAATTGACAACTTAAGGTTTTGATGGAATAAATGTAGGCAGTTGTAAATGATCGCTTAATTCTAGGTCTAATATAAGGTTTATCACTATCTAGTTGTCCTTGAATGCAAATTGAGATCAGGTTTTGTAAATATGTAAAGATAGTATTAGTAGAACATAATATTATGAAATACAATATTTTGTGTTAATGTTAAATGTTACCTATACTTGATGTAATCTTTATATATATATAATTCTTCTGTGAGTGTGTATGTCACTGAACTTCTCTCAAACGACTGGACCGATTTTGATGAAATTTTTTGTGTGTGTTCAAGGGGATCTGGGAATGGTTTAGATTCACAAATCAGCCCGGCAGATGGCACTGCAGTCGGTACTTTCATACTTTGCTTAATATCCTAATCGCTTTAAATATCATGCAGGACAACGTCTGTGGGGTCCACTAGTATTATATAAACCAAATTTTTATCAGGATAGTCTATACGTAAAAAATATTTTGAGATTTCGATTTTTTAAATGAATTAATTTCATTTAGATTCTTAATTCAGCTGTGTTTTTATTATATATGGATAAGGCCGGACTTTTTCGAATCTTTTGACACTTACAAAATTAATTTAATTTGAAATGGGTTTTAATTGTTAGGATTCATTATTTAGAATTAGCAATTTTCTAACCTCTACAAGCAGATTTATATCAATAGAGAGAGCGCATCAATATTAAAAATTACATGTTAGAGGATTATTTAGAATGGTATTCTTCTAGAAGCACGGTATTCGTATATTTGTATGGCTAGCTAAATTTTTTTAGACCATATACGGTAAATGAGACTTACCCATCCGGCAGTGTAAGGTAGAAACGGAACATGTCATTGGCAGCGAGCTTTATGGCCTTTTCTGGAGTGATGAGGATGATGTTAACTGCTGATCCCCTGTACATGCCAAAGTAACCCTCCGCCGCATAAGTCTTGCGGAAACAATCCAGCCTGTTAAAATGTTCTCAATTAAAACTGAGTTTACCAGGTCATGTTTATCTACATTTCAACTAAGAAATACGAAGGAATTAATAATTTTAAGTAGCGTTCGCCGATTTTGTCATAAGCTCAGCGGGTCTTATTAACTTTAAAGGAAGCGTTTTGCTTACGAATCTGCACGAAAACAAAAAGTTTATCCTTTTGTAGATATGGTTCATACAATATTTAGTTTACCATATAATAGTTGGTTAAAAGATAATATAATAGAAGATTTAATGGTAATCATGGAGATATATTTTATGCCTGATCGTCAGCTAATAGTCTATGGAAATTAAAATAACATATTATTGTTTTGAAACATAAAAACAAACAACTGTTGCAAATGACCTTGAATTTTAGATTTATCAGGAATTGTCTAGAATAGGAAAGAATATTTTACAGCGCTTGAACTAAATTCAAACTTTATATTCACAGAAAACCAGAACATAATAAATCCATCCATCTAGTATCTACGAAACCAGACATATACAGCCATTCCCACCATCCAAATTACACAAACGTTTCTAGTTGGGTCTACATTTTAGGCATAATAGACGACCTTGAGGTGAATATAAGATTTTTGTACACAGAAATTCAATAGGCAATACTTACATGTTCTTATATTGTTTCTCTCCATTTGGTCCGACAGTTTGATTTTGCAATCGCGTCTTCACAAGATCCAAGGGGAACACGACGGAGACACCAATGATTCCCGCAATGCCACCGTTTATAATCTTTGGTACCGGGCTGAAAAGTTGTATCATACAATATGCTGTTCATTCGTATACGAAATTAAAAATACGCTTAATGTCCTAATTTAAAGAGATTTAGTCTGACTTAAATAGAAAGGATATGACGATAACCAGTAATCATGTTATACTCCCTAAAAAAATGTCTTTCTCTATGCATGACGAATCCGCTACATGAATGAGAACTTATTATATACTAACTACCTATAGTTGTAGATACCTAGGAATGTCATAATACTACTACTCATGCATGTGTAGTCTTACATGGACGAAGTCATTTAGTAAGATCAGCAAAAGTGTAAATGTCTAACATTTCTTAAGACAGGTTAAACATGGCTTAGATCTTGCTAGAGGAGCGACACAATATCAAAATAAGTAGTTAAAATTAAAAAAAAAACCAAATAGCAGTCAAAGTAAGCTTCATTTTAAAATTAGCATTTTCACATACACCAATTATAATGAATAGAATGACCTTCTCAATTAAAATAATTTATTCTAGTTCTCATTGTTGGCAATATGAGTAATGAATTGACAACATACTCAGCATAACTATAATATTTTACTATTAATATAGAACTTTAATATATACAAGTAAGAAGTGTCTTATAAGATTCTTGCTACTAAAACTGTTGTGGGTTTTTTTTATAAACATTTACCAAAGGTAAATTGATTTGGTTTACATATAAAAAGCAAACATGCCTTACACATCTTGATATTTATTTGGAATGTAAATATTTGGTAATTTAGCTGGAAACAAGTTATATTTAAAAAAAAACAAATGTGTATTTAGACTAAATTGAGATGAGAATATTGTACATTGGGTTGATATGTATACAACAAAAACATTTTATTAATATTTAATAATAATATTTAATAATTCAATAATAATAAAGAATAGTGACAAGTCTTAGTAACATATATTTATATACATTCAAAGGTGTTAAAATATTAATTTATCACCTGCTCTTGGAGATAAAAGATAAAAAAAAAGATAAACAGATATAAGATATATTGCTAAGCACAAACAGAAAGCAATATCACTTACTTTCCCAAAATATGAATCTAATGAACAAGAATATTGGATGATATTATAGAGACTATTGGTAAGATTCAGAGTCAATAATAAGCAGTAAGAATTACACCCATTTGTTAAGAATGTATCAAATTTTATGAATATACTTAGAGCTGAGTCTTAACTTAGACTTAAGTTATAAGGATTACTTTACTAACAATATATGGATTTTGTAATGGTCTGAATTAAATGATTTTTATTTTTAACTCTGAATCTTATCCTAGGTGTAATTTATTTAATTCTTAACATGTTTTACTCTAATCAACAGACACAACACTTTGTATATGCTCATGAATAATACACAATTTTTTTTTAAATATTTTTTACTTTTTTTTAATTAGCCCCTAATAGAGACTGACCTACTTTCCAGCTATGAAGCAGTATAAATAAACACCCTTTCTCTATAATAACAGTCAAACCACCCTTCATTACTTGACAATCCCATAGGTTCTTTAAATTTTCTAAGACAACAAATTTTCTTACATACTTTCTTACATTCCATCAATGAATAATAATTAGGTTGTATTTACTTTTGAAGTTTTGTAACTTACTTGAATTGTGCTACTGGTGGAGGCTGTCCTGGTTTACTCATAGCTGCTTATTTATTTCCTGAACAAAAATAAACTATTTAGATTACTTTAGGGTTTAAAAAAAATATTCATATGAATTTTACAATATTTATAACTCAATACACCTATAAAGTTTCTAAGGGGAGCTAATTTAATAGCTTCTTGATATGTTCAATATTTTCCCTTGTATTTAAATATTTTAAGGTTGATACAATAAATGTATATAAATAAATTAATATAATATTTTGAAGGATTGAAATGTCGAAAACTTAAAATTAGCCATTTTATAAGGTTCATATTACGATTTAATTAATACCTGACAAAGTAAATTATTAAAATTTTATAAACCCTAAACAATAAATATCCCGAATTATAAAATGTTTTTAAGAATGTTTTATTCATTTTACGTAATTTTTCAGAATCAATAAAACGTACCGCTCAGAAGTTAGTGGTTCCGAATTAATTCTTGAACACCCACTTAATTTAGAAATACCAGAGCCCTCAATCCTTGCTATTGCATTGCTAAGAAAATTGGAATTTAGAATAAAATTTTCAACTGATTAGTGATTTTACACGAGTCGAGAATAGCCGGAAGATTTTTTGATTTTGAATTTAGTAAAATTGATTGATGGCAATTGTCAAGAAACCACAGACCACAACCAACAATGAATCAAATAATCTATCAACTTTCAAGTCACATTGACTTCGGCGATAATTTTTTAAATGTCTATTATTATAATATTGTTATTATCTCCTATTTTCTTGCCATTTGTAGAAAACTATGTGTTAATAATATAATATAGAAAGTAGAATCCACACTAAAATAATAAACAAAAGTTGTTTGGTTTAAGCTTGTTTATATACATCAGGGGGTCTAGCCAAGATGGCTTAACAGTAGTGTATGTAGAAAGTCGAAAACTAAATTTGTATGAAAATGACAGCTCGTGTCACAGTCGGTAGCCTAGCCCTAAAGGCGTGAGTCGGGATACATAAAGCCATACAGTCTACGAAAAGCACACATTAACGCTTACGCTATTCGGTAGCCAACGGCCAATTAATGTTTCGGCAGTGTAGAAAAACGGCGTTTCTCCGCCATGTTTTAGCTGATCTCAAAAGCTGCTGTTTGCAATATTCAGTACCTATCGCCATCTTTAATGGCTACCGTTTTAAAAACATGTCATATATTGGACATTTTAACGAAATGGTTTTAATTTGTTATCTGTCTTTTTTAACGTTCTCTAATTATAATAATTTAAACTAGAGTCAATATTTTTAAGTTAAGAGTTTTAGTTTTTCTATGAATCAATGCGAGGATAACATAATAGACACAGATAAATATGAAAATATCAAGAAAATCAGCAAATTAGTAGAGGTAAATCCTAGTTATATTGGATATCTTTTATTTTTCTTTAATTTGAAAAATACATATACCATTTAATATTGCTTATATTATGTAATCACAAAGTAAAATGATTGTAATGATATTTGTATATTTCAGATGAGAAACATCACTATGAAATTATTAGAAGTTCTAATATATTTTATTGTAATTATAATAGAAGCTAATGATATAATATTGATTTAAATTAATCAAATAAAGTGGATTTTTACTTCATAACTTTGGAAATATAAAATATAGTGAGCTATAAGTACTTAATGGTAAGCAGATATTTTCTTTAATTATTTACTAAGTTAATATACTAGAAAAGTTATTATAATATTGTTAATGAATGAGAAGTTTTAATTCAAGTCCTTTGGGAGTTACTGACATTGTTTGGTTATTAAAAACTTTAATTGACAATAAGCAGCAAAGTGACAAATTAAGTATATTTTTAAGTTTAGAATGAAGTAAAGACTTTTAATATTAAAGTTACCTATTGATCAAAGTACTAACTAAAATATTTTATTTTCAGAAAAAGACAACTAAAAGTATTAAAAAAACACAAATGGACAAGTTTTATTAAAGTCTTATCTTTTAATTAATTAAAGTGTTATATTATGTACCTGAAAAATGAATTTGATAATGGGGAACGAAGCATTTTATGAATAATGTAAAATAAACAAGTGGAGTATGAAATAATGGTTGGTTAAGTAACATTACCTCAAAACAGGAAAAGTAACTGAAACTATGTTCTTCCACATTTAATCTTAATAAGTTCAGCAGTTTGAATGTTAATGAGATATTATTATAAACAAATGCATTTGTAGATTTTAGGAAGAATTATATCTTTACAATAACTTATTATTTACAATTTTGTGTTAAGGAAAATCACTATTTTTTTAATCGCCCAGGATGTATTCATAGTAACTGTAGGTATCATAGTAATTTTATGAAATCATCACAAATCTAACGTTAGGTTTTATGAATTGAACAATTTTTTTGTATATAACAGCACACAACAAGATATTGACATTGCTGCAAATTAACACTTACATTAGTTAATTATCTACATATATGAATACATCATTAGGTAGTAATGCATTTAATTTGGTGCACCTGCGTGTGTTCAGTAGTAATGTCTGTATTGTTTAATAAGTTGTTACATATGCTTATTTTTCTATGTAGACTGATATGTTAAGGAAGATATTTGGTGCCTTATTTTAATAAAAATACATAACTGAAACATTTTTATTTTGCTACCTGTTTGTTTAATATTCCTAACTATTAGTAGGTATGGGTAATTCATATATGCATTATCTGTTATTCTTTAAAATAAACTATATTGTGAACCACTTTATGGCTTTCCTACTAAAAAGACAAGGTAACAAAAAACTAAATGTTTATTCATTTCTTACTAAGATTTGCATTACATATTAACTAGACAATACTATATAACCAAAAGTTAATTGACATAAATATTAACTTAAAATCAGCATCAAACTTAAATTTATATCTTTATATCTAAGATGTTGGAGCATCAATATGGAATCAAAGGTTGATTAAGGGTTATAATTTCATACCAGACTAAGTTTCTATTTTATAATTTTTATTAATTCCTCTTTTCATTTCATTGATAGGTACTTCTGTTTTCAATTCTCACTTTCTAAAAGTATAAATATATTATAAACATCAACTTTATGACTCTAACTTAAACTGAAATTGTTTGTTGACTAAGAGTAATTCAATAGTAGCAAATCACTAATAAAATCTACACTATATATAAATCTCTTTCAAATTGACATTAAAAATGTTCAACACAAAACCAACTAATTAAGCTTAAATCAAACTCTAATTTCAGTGATCACACTAGTTACGTTTTTTTTCCTATTGTTTTTAATTCCTTGACTTTATCAACTTCTAGTCAACCTTATTTCCACTTTTTATTTATCAATCCACAGTACTATTTTTATTGTTTCTTCTAAGCGGTAACAAAATATGTTGCTTCTTCATTTTGTAGATTAGTTGTGAGGTCAAATCCTAAAAATATCAAATATATACTACTAATTATTATATATCGCGATTATGCAATTTCAAAATATTGTATTTATTTGTAGCCTTAAATTTCTAGAATAAACATTTATTTAAACATCAATTAAAATTATATATTCACTTTGCACCTTCCTAAATTCCACTTAAATCGAAAATTGTTCCGACCTTGCTGACATTCTAATGTCCCTTTTGTAGCTTCAATTGCAAATTTACAATAATATTGTAAAGTTTTAACTTTTATTTGTTTATAAAAGGACAAGGAATACATTTAATCCAGAGACAATAGACGGAATAAGGTGCTACGAACAGCAGCTCGCATCTACGCTGTCGACTTTGCGGTAATGTATCGACATGTCTCTTGGCTACAACAAGCGTTTTCGACAATACAATTACGCAAAAGCGGTAGTGTATGTAGAATACTTTTCGACACCAATATGGCTAGACCCCCAGTTCAGAATCTGGGGGAAAACACGTTGTGGCAGCTTAGAAGAATATAATTTATGTTCAGTAAAAGTCTCTCGCTTTTCGAGATATTCAAAAAATACATCCTAGTAGCAAACCACTCTTTTCGATTCCAAGACACCAAATGAAAGATTTTTTGAAGTTATACTTCTTTAGGCGCGTTATGAAAAATTGATGAGAGTGAAATTTTACGAGACAGAAAGTTGTCAGTGTGATTATAGCGTGCGCAAGCGAGATGGGAATAAGACAATCTACAAGTAAAAAGAACTAGAATATGCGTGAAGTTAGCAGCTATGCCAAGAATTTTGAATGACCATAATGACATTTACCTTTTAAACAAATAAAGGAGCTTTAATTATTTTTTCAAAGAAATTTAGCAATGCTTTTTCACAAAGACATATTGTTACTTAGTTAAAAGTTTATGAAACATACCAAGTTATTAAATTTAATGAATAATGTAATAAAATAATAAATAATAATAATAATTGTTATTAATATTAATTAATAATTAAATAATATACTAAATATTATTAAATTGTTTACTTACGTTAAATATTAATTATTAATTAATTATATTTAAAAAAATAAAGAAAGCCAAAGAAGTATAACTTCTTACGCGCGTACATAAGTACACGCACCCTTTTTTTTTATTTCACAAATAGTCATCTACCCGCAGGTATCATATAATCTATTCATTACACCATACTCTGTATATACAAAAATTTGGTTTTGGATTGCATCTATTCTTTAATTTATGGCCCGCGACATGGTCAAAACTCAAAAGACATAACCTAGTGCTTTTCCGCTTTCAAGTTTCAATAAAAAAAATTTGGTTATTGGTACCATAATATGGCATATTATGTTTAATGTTAGAATGTGTTATAGTAATTACTAATTATTATGGTAATTGGTATAGTATTATTATACTTCGTGCTAACTTTGTAGTTATACGAATGAAATTGCAAAACCAATTGCCTATTCGGTGATGTTTAAGTTCCCGGCACGTATAATTACAATTTTGTCGACTTATCAAAGATATCGTAATATAAGCATAACTTCTCAGTTACTTAAAGGTATTGGTATCATGAAGGTTAGTATTTTTAATGAAATTATGTTACCTTGCCCTTATTAAAGTATACTTCATTGATGAACGTATACGTTCTGACAAATATTAGGTTTGTCTAATATTTCAATGATATATTATAGTTAAAGGTTTACTACAAAATATTTTTATGCTGCCTATATGAACCTGTGATAACAATGACTGTTTTGATAGGTTGGAACACATGACGGAGTATTTCATTGTGATGAAGTTCTCGCCTGCTATATGCTCAAACATCTTCCTGAATACAGTGATGCAGAAATTGTTCGCACTAGAGATTTGGAAAAACTTAAAATGTGTGATATAGTAGTTGATGTTGGAGCAGAATTTAACCATGAAAGAAAGAGATATGACCATCATCAACGAGAGTTTAAAGAAACATTAAGTACAATAAAGCCAGATCTTGGTAATAAGTATAAAATTAAGTAAGTAGCAAGTTAACAATTTTATAATGATAGTGCTTGCTATCCATATAGATTTAGAGATAAATTTGCTGTTTGGGTTATGTTTATTATTAATTCAAAATGAAGCAAGGGTATTTTCTTGTTTAAATTAAAATCCAGTTTAGGATAATTTACTAATGGTTTTCAGATTAAGTTCTGCTGGACTTATTTATGCATTTTATGGTGAAAATATTATCCAATCCCTTGCACCAAAAGAGTGCCCCTTACATCCAGACAACCTTCAAATTATTTTTAAAAAAGTTTATGAACATTTTATAGAGGAAATGGATGCTATAGACAATGGTGTACCTATGACAGATAAGGAGGAACCAAAGTACAAAATAAGAACACATTTAAGTGCTAGAGTTGGTAAGCTGAACCCTGAATGGAATACAATGCAAACTGCTAATGTAGATGAACTTTTTGAAAAGGCAATGAAAATGGTCAGTGAGGAATTCTTACATGTAGTTAACTATTTCATATCTGTCTGGCTTCCAGCTAGAGACTTTGTTAAAACTGCCTTAGAAACACGATTTGAAGTGCATAAGTCTGGTAAAATTCTGGAGTTTAAAGAACGATTTCCATGGAAAGAGCACTTATTTGATTTAGAAGAAGAAATGGGATTGATTGGAGAAGTTAATTATGTTGTTTTTAATGATAAGCCTAACTCTTGGAGAGTCCAAGCTATACCTGTAGCACCAGTTAGTTTTGTAACAAGGTAGGTCCTTCTCTTACAATTATGATTTGTGTTGTATTTGATTTGGCAATTGCTGAAGGGTATGTGGATAGAGGATTAAGAAGCTTAGGACCACATTATTATTTTTGTGAATTAGATATATACAGCTTCCTACTTTAGTATCATAAATTAATTATTATTTTTTATGAAAAAACGTGAATAAATATTTGAACTGTTAAAATGACTAAATATTTCACTATTTCAGAAAACCATTGCATGAAAAATGGTGGGGTGTCCGTGATGATTTACTTTCCGATATTGCTGGTATAAAAGACTGTGTATTCTGTCATAGCACAGGATTTATTGGAGGAAATTGTACAAGAGAAGGTGCAATAGCCATGGCAGAAGCAAGTTTAAATGCTTGATTTTAGGGACTACACTTATTGTACCAACACTTTTTCAGATGCTCTAGTTTTATATGAAAAATTTTTACTTACACAAAATTAAATATTATCGCTTTTTAATTTCACAATATATGGGTTTGACAAAATTTCTTTTAGTTGATGTGAATTTGTAACTGATATTATATTTAAATCTGGATGTAACTTATTTTAGTTTCATTTGTTAAAATTATACCCAAAAATATTTAATTATCCCATCTCTTTATTTCTTAATATTATCATGAATTGTTTATATTGTATAGTTAAAGTTAGTTTACAATTTCATTCTAAATTATAAATAACTCTTCATAAAGTTTTTTTTAAAGATTAGACAGCATATAATCTAATCTATTTTCAGAGCAGATCATAATTATATGATCGGAGTTGTGATAATACATAACTCAGATTTTATTTGTATGAATATTCAACTCTATCAAATATAGACTACTGCACAGTATTTATTCTCTCTTTATAGATTTTCAATGAGACATCACAAAAATTGACAAGCAAGAGAAAATCTTTGTTAGTTCAAAAATACTACATTATTTATCATATAAATATGAATACTATACACAAGTATTTTCTTTTTTATCTTCACTTACACTAATTACATCTGTGGAATCAGTATTTCCATTATTATGTTTTACCACACCATCAATGTTATTGCCCTTAATGTCTTCAACTTGTTCACCATTTTTTATGTCTGTGTCACAAACATTTCTCTCAGCATTATTTTTGTCAATGTCTATTTCTCTTTCATCTTCATCATTTTCAATATCAGCATCGACTTTCTCATCATCATCATCATCTTGAATGTTGTCATCTTTATCTTCCATAACATAATCATTTGGATCAAATGAGTGCTTTTCAATTTTTTCTAGCCAAAGAGCCATATTCCTTCCTTCTATTTCTCCTTTTACAACATTTGGGTGAATGTGTTCCATTTTAAATTTTTCAATTGTGTCATCTAAATCTTCCCAGGTAAGACTTTCATGGGAATCTTTGTAGCGGGTGTCATAACGTTCGTAATGCACCTGTGAATTGATACACTATAATCATATATTCTTCAAATTAGGGCTTGACAAATAAATTGTAAAAATAAAAAACACATAATATTATATTTATATATATTTTTAGTATAATTCAAATTTAGGTGATATGCTTCAAATTTAACTTAATTCTATAGTATTTTATCTTAGTATATGTACCTTATCGAGCATGAGCCCGAGGCCAGGAGCTGTGGGTATCATCACCTTTTCTTTACCAAATGCTTTGTCTATCATTCCTTGATCAGCTTGCCCTCTGGCAATAACTATCACTAAACCAACCATTTTTCTTATCTGATGTAACATGAAACTTTGTCCCTGGAAATGAATAATATCATATCTGAGTTTTTAAAGTACATAAAATTAGTGAAAACTAGCATTTACTGAAAAAATACCTTAACTAATAGTTCAGCAAATTCGACCTCAGATTCAATGAAGATCTTCTTCATTGTAAAGCTCATCATATATCTTGAGGCTGAAGGGTCCTGATGGTGTCTGTTAGCAAAAAATATCTTCATTAAATATATTTAATAAATATGGAGTTTTTAAATCATTAACTTTTACTAGACAACCACTGAAATGTTTGGTATTTTCAACAGCATATATGTATTAATATTATGATAATTTATAGCATTGCACATTAAAAAACTGCTAAGCATTACATATTACAAGACATGTTTCTTGCTTTATTGTTACATTATGGAAAAAAACTTACTTTTTTTCTGTGAAATTGTGATAACTTTTAGTCCCTTTATAATGACCTAGTAACTGATTCACCAAATTCTGCTTTTCTGCTGATATTCTGTATACCTTCCTTTCCTCATCTGTGCAAACCGCTTTTTCGAATACATATGTTGGAAGAGTATAACTATATGTCCGTGCATTGCACTTTGATTTTGAGTTAAATTTATTAGTCACCCTTTTTATTCCAAATACTCTGATGCATTCTGGAAGTCTTTTGTTTATTTCATCTACATTGACTTCAAGAGCTGAAATGGCAGTTTTGACTTGATAAGTTTTTAAATCTAAATTAGAATTATCAAATATTGTAAGGATGTTGCTATAATTGCTAATATTTACAACCTTTTCAAAATTATACTTACGTAGTTTAACTGACACAACCTGTCTTGCAGCCGAGACACCTTTGTCTGTTCTAGAACTTCTTTGAAATTGTGCATTTTGTTGGTTAACAAAATCTTCCTCTGTAATGTATTTTGCACCTAACAATGCTTGTAATAAGTCCTCTTCAATTGTTTTAACACCTGGATTTCTAATACAACAGGAGTAGTAAGTATCTCGAATCTTTAGATTTAAACATTAGCTTTAGTATAAAAAATTACTTAGAATCTAGTTTTTAAGTTCACAAATCTTAATATTAAACTGAAAGTGTATTTATGATACAAAATTTTAAAATATAAAAGATAACCTGAGATATATTATTTAATCTGCTTGCTTTTATTCAGTTTAATTACTGTAGTCTTAAATTTATTACCTTTGCATTCCAAAATAGTCAACGCCACAATAGCCAAGCAGCATTGCCATTTTTTTTCTTTTAATTCTTTCAAAAGGTTGGTCACATAACTTTTTTGCTTCGCATTCACTATTACCTTTTTTGTTTTCATTAAACTCCCATTGCCGCTTTCGTTGACGTTGTTGGAACCTTGTACGCTGTTTATCTACTAGATGATCATCGTTTTCTATTTCTTTTGTTGCTACACTCATTGTTTCAATTTGTAATTTAAGAGGACCTGGAGTAATATATTTTACTTGAGATTTAGTGGAATTTTAGTGATACTTTTACATTTTTTTACCAACAATATATATCCTAATGCTTTGAGGATAAACATCATGAACATCACAACATCCAAAATGTAACCCCAATATTAATATTAAGACACGTGTATTTTTTTTCTTCAAAAAAGATATGTACCTGTTTTTACAAGTTTAGCATGTTTCGGCAGATTTTGTTTAATTGAAGAAATGAATCTTTGAAATAATCGAACTGACATACCTACTTATTTTGCATAAGGTAATTTGATTATAATATAAAGCTAGTTATAAAATATATTATTATCAATCTAAGGTATTAGGTAAATAAATAACCCTAAAAGTTTTTAGTAAATCGCGATTTAATTTTTTTTTATTTTACTATGATCGTTCATCGTACTCTATCATCCATGATTTATATTTCGCTGTTTGTCATTAATTGTGTTGTATATTTGTCATTATATAGTATTAGGAATTTCTGACCATAGAGTAAACTATTTTGACAGGGTAGACCTAGGGATGATCATGATCGTTGTTAGAAAAACATCGATGTCATAACCGAAAGCCCAACATCGATGTTCGATATTTATCGAAAACCGAACATCGTTTTTGGATACATCGATTATTTTTGCATTAATAATTGACAAAGAAATAAAATACAGTGAAATGGTTTGAAATTTATTAAGAAACAGAACAAATTATTACATATTCCGATATTTTTATATCAATTGACTAAATGGCAGGTTATTTTGATAAAGAAGAACTTTTTAATATATTTCTTTGTTGATAAAGAGTAGTGTGGAAGTGTAAGGCCGTTTCTTCACTGCTCCGGTCCGGCAAACCTTAATTACCGATCCGATTTAGAAACTCACAACAATACTTACGTGCTTGTCCACTACACCGGCATCCGGTTTTTAACGAGCCGATAACTTGCTAGATCGGAACGCAGTGTTTTATCGGTCCGAAGTGATCGACAGTGATGCTAGCTTGTACAAATTTAGGGGAAAACAAGATGTCCAAGGGTTTTATCAGCGGGTACATTTATTTAGGGGAATTTTGTTTCTAAACAATTTATATTAAGCTTCGGACGCAATCAACAAACTAAACCAAATAAAAACTCCAAGCCTGGCAACAGTTTAAATATCGAAAAACAATAATTTGATCCGAACGAATAATGGCTTAAAATAATGTATGAAAAGAAAATGACGAAAAAGCAAACTGAATTCGAAGACAGTTAAGAAATAAAAAAAAGGAATTGTTTCATCTCATTGTTATTATAATTAATATTATTCGGTCAATGATTAACATATTATATAAATATAAAACTTAGTTTTACTGATCGATTATTGTCGGATCGGATATAGTGGAGAAGCGCAATCCGGCCTTCCGATATTTTTTTAATGAGTCATTCCGGCTTCCGACGCCGGACCGGAGCAGTGGAGAAAGAGTCTAAGAGAGAAAGAGCGAGCGAGACTACAAAGAACGAACGAAGGGAACGACCTGGGCGCAAAGAATGAATACGCGTTACAAATTTTAATAAACCTAATTTGTGGATGCGTTCATAGAAGACAATTTGTTTCGTATGTGGTATTGGTCGTGCAGGAGGCCGTGAGTTAACATCGACGTTCAATTCAGTTAACATCGATGATCCATCGAGCATCCCTAGGTAGACCTGACAACGTTATCCAGGAATACGAATTCTTGGACGCTAGAGAGAAATCGGAAAAGCCTGACGTAAAGTAACTTTGTCTCAAGCCCATGGCCTCCTATGATATTTGTGACTGCAGACTGAAATTATTTATTTTTATTTATTTACAAAAATTACATACACTATCCTTACAGTACGTAGCCAATTGCCAGCTAACAAATTGATTTGAATAGCGAAAGCACTAGTAATAATTGTTTTATTTCAATTAAATATTTAAGAGTTTAGAATATCCGTGTATATATTATGCACCACGAGGAATGTTCGCAGTTCGAACACATTTTGGCCATAGCTTTAATTAAGTAAAAGGGTACAATGATAGCCACTGCAAGGCTATGGGTACCTACAGTAAAGTACCTGTACTAGTTTGATACAGAGCGTGAGACTTATAAATATACCATAATATGTTATTATAGATATTTATAGTATATGTACTATACAATTTGGAGGTCTAATACATATTTCAATTGCTATGTAAATATGTAGAGCCATCTGCGCACGCTTGAACTTGGCGCATGGCAAATAATTCAGTGCATTTAGGACAAGGTTTCTATATCAGCATGGGTTGACGCAGTGCTCGAAAATGCGCGGTGGAAGTTCAGAAAGGCTGGTCGTGCGAGCCTCTAGGCGTAGGGGCGATACGCGTGCTAAACTTACGAGATATATAACGATATCTTTGGCAGCTGTTCTCGGCGGTGGCAGCTCAGCCCTTCTTTTTCTGGTGCCACTTTACGCGGATCCTGCCTTAAGTGCCCTAGCTGCGGATTTCGATCCGGTACCGGCAGAGTGCGTCACTGAACGAAGAGATGACAGACTTGGCCTGGATAATTGCACCTGGGCATCTTGTCGGGAAGGGTGCACCAGCGATGCCTATAAATGCATCCAGTTACATGTAAAATATAAAGCGTATGTTGAGGATTGGCGCCCCGCAGTTCTATATGTCAATATCAAAGGTTGCGGATACCCACCAGCCGTGAATTGCGAAAATTTCACGATGAACTACGGATATGTGGGTGCAAGATACCCATGCTTTTGGTCTCGGGCGGATACAACAGTAGTAGTGCCAACATGGTCGAGGGGAGAGCAGGTTGCGACGGTAACACGTACGCTGGCATTACCTTTGTTTCTTTCTGGATGTGCTGGTATTGGTTTGTGCGCATTGCATTGTGAATGTAGACCACGGCGACGCCGACGGCCGCCTAGACGTCCCCCGCGCCTGCCTACTTTATCAATAGATGATACAACAGTTTATAGGCTTGCTTAAGCCACAGTGGAATTGCATTTTAATACCTACCTTAGGATTCAGCGGCGACTTTCTTGAACCGCACATTATTGAACTTCATGTCTTCAAGCACATATAGAATTGATTTTACGTGTGAAGTATACCTAATTGTGTTTACGAAATTCTTGTTTTATTCATCCCCTTTTTAAGAAACTTGCTTTGTGCATATTCTCTTTGTAGGGTGACATCACAATAAAAATAGAGAGGAATATATCAATAATACAAGATAGTAAAGAGTAAATACTTTTATTTCAAGTTGTATCTTTAAATTTTATTCAACGAGTACAAAACTATTTCCTTTATCAAACATACTCAAGAGTAGAACCTTCACATCAGTCTTTAAGCAATATAATTAATTTTTGCTAATTTTACCATCGCGCCAACCATTTAGGCCTTAATAACAGGGTTACAACAATATGTTTTTAGAATAAAATTCTACAAAATAATTGAAAGTACGGCAAGCTATTTTAAAAACAATATAATTTTATCTGTTTACATTTGTGTACTGTTTCTATTATATTTTATAGTTTGTAGATGTGTAACTTATTGCAGCAACCCTGACTTTCCGTTGCTTTATTATTATGAATACTAAGTACATATATAAGATGCACATCGAACGATTGCGCAATATTCGATACGATTACAATTCATTAGAATATTTGTTATACTTTTAATCACATTAATTAATCGTAATCAATCTTTTTTATAACGGAAGCGCAGCATAACAATTCACTATAATTTATGATTTTAAATGACTACACAGAGGAATTCATTCGTCGGGACCGGAAAGCAAGCTATCACACTGTTTCGACTATATTGATAAAAAACCACATCTGATATTACGTTAAAATGAAAAAATAACGTGACAAATGTTTTTACAATCAAAATGAAGAAAAAAGAAGAATTTATAGTGGAATTAATTTGTCAAAACTAGATGAAAATTTAGCTAGCTAAGCCATTTAAAAAAGATTGTATCTAAGTTTATATAGTTCGATAAACAATGGTAACTTGACATTTTTACAACAAACAAGGCAACAACGACATTTATATTATAAATAGTGATAGAACAACTGGCTGGAAATCGTTCAAAATAATTATTATTAACCGTAATGAATACACAAATAGGTTTGCAACATCAAAAATAAACTCTGTTCACAACCATACGCAATATCCAATTACGTATATTTTCAAAGATTTTACGACATGTGGATTATTAGGAGTTGGTGACCGTGATTTCTTCAAATATTTCTTAATGGGATATATCTGTTTTTATAAAATCCTTTATATAGTGAAATGGGGACTATTAACAAATTGTAATCTAAATTTTTGCAATGGCAATACCCGTTACTTGGCATCTGGCCAACAACTCCAATAGTAGTCCTTAAATTATCAGTCAAACGTTATCCGTATTATCGTAATATCTTTAAAAACCTTCATTGTACTAGATTAAATACAAAAAAAACACTAATTTTAGCCTAAAAATTAAGGGATGTCTGGAACAATCAAACGGCTTAGTGGTAAAACATCGTTTTCATAAAAGGTAGAAAAGTTATCTCTGGCGTTAGTATAGGTGGTAATTTTGTGTCATAATAATACTCAAATTGGAGGCTAACCCGTAATCTACCACGTAGCCTAAACGAGTATAAGTACATATAGTATTCTTTCAAATCCCACTGATGTCATAGACTTTACCTTTAATAAGTAAATTAACTTCAAAAAGCGATGATTGTCAGCAATAACAGATATAAACCAATACTTTTTTTTAAATATACTTCGCTGTCATGTAACAAATGAAAATACGATTCGTAAAAAGCGCCATACTCACCTGTCAAATGGTAATAGGAATTTGACAGATGCGAGAGTTCAGCTTAATGCCTTTAGTCTAATTCTTAGACGTGTTATGAAGATTAAAAGAAGTTATATTTTTTATACGTATTAACATTATGTACGAAAACGAACTAGAAAAACGCAAGATTTTAGGATTGGTGATCTTTCTGATGGAAAAGATGTATTAAAAATTGTATTAGGTTAAAATATTAGTTAGTTTCGTTAAAGTTCACAACATTTAATGTGTTAAGTAATGGCAGTATATCATTCCGTTGTGAACCCAATTAATTAATTTGTTGCTAGCTATCTACATATTTACGTGTTAAAAGCCCTTACGAAGTCAATTTAATCTCGGCAAAACTTTGGACAACCCTCATTATGAAAATTTCAGGAAAAAACTTAGAAAGAATAGAAAAAATAGTTACGAAAATATAAGAATGAAGTGGTTAAGTTTAGGGGCTGAACAAAGCTTAAAAAATATTTTAAATAACTTCGTCAAGGAAAATTTGCTAAAAGAACGTGGTTGCTAAATAGTTCCATAAACTTCAAAAATGGCGGTTACATATATAATTAGACTTTACAAAGATGCCAAGAGCTTAAAGCTCCAAGAGAAATATTAAACAGCCACATCCCCTAACCATACAAATAAATAGTAATACATCCTATTATCCACAATTTTCTGAGTGGAATGACGATAAGTCAATCTATAGGAACTTAGTATAGATGAATATGTACAGATTTTTCTAGCGAGATAAGGTAAGAGGCACTTATTTAACTATGCCATATAAAAAGCAAAATCTTATTTTGCACAACCCTAATTTTATTAAACTTCCAATAATGGGAAAAAATCAAATATTATTTTAAACGAAACGGTGGGTAGATCTTATTTACTTTATAGGGCATAGTCTGTCATATATAGCATTAGTGTAAATTATTGCTATATGTATGAGTATCATAATCCTATTTCTCAAAGGTTGATCACACTTCGACATATAAAAACAAGTAAAAAATTCCAAGAATCATTAGACGAATTCAAACAATAACTTCACCTTTCTTTCGTTAAATTAGTTACATATGAAATAAAAATATTCTAGAAATCAAAACCATCATGCTCAAAAAATAAAGTTAAAAATCATTGTTGGTCATTTAGAATAAACCTTTGAGAATCGTTTAACCTTACCTCGCCTAGACTAGCAATCATTGAACCGCTTGAGAAATAGCTACCCTATATCTCTTTCTATCTAACTCTAATTCACTTTGATCTCTAATCCGTTTCACAGCCATACTGGTAGAGGGTTCAACGCTTGCCTCAATTAATCTGCTAGCCCTATATAACCTATAATCTGTCTGATTTTGGTAGTAGCTAATATTAGAAATATTTTGAGGGTAGTTTGAAGTAATGTGATATTGTGGTGATGTGGAAGGTGTTATATTTGGTGTTGTTCTTGCACTGCTATAACCTTGATCCACTTCGCATTCGGTAGTTTCCCGTGATTTTATTTGCATCATCCTGTAAGAAATTAATCTTTAGATTCATACAGGTAGAACTTTTTTTTCTTAAATATTGAGGGTAGTCAGAAATTCGCTTCGGTGTTATAAGCATTAAAGGACATCAACCAGATGGGAAATCAACTTTTCTTTTCGGCCTTTGATCATCATTTTGAGTCATGTTTAGGATAAATTAAAAAAAAAACACATATTTTAAGAGTTAATTGAACACTGTTAAGCTAAAACATAATATGTGGTTTGGTCTTATAGTTAAATAATTTTGAAGTTAAATTTATCATAGAATAAACAATTTACATACCTATGTAGTAGTCGTGCAATGGGTGCTATTGTCTCATTAGTCTTTCCAGCAACATCAGCTAAATAATCGGGCCACGCGGATAGACCAAGCTCCGCGCGCGCGCAAGATACGCACGCACAACCCACTTCTACGCTGTCTACTACTTTTAAACGTACGTCTGGAATATAATTATTGAAAAAAATATTATCAACATACGTTATTACGACGTAATAAATTATTTGCAGGCAAAAACGTAATATGGATTTTACATTTTTGCCTACCTTTACACTTGGTAAAGAAAAAAATCTCAAGAAATGTTAAGTCAGAAAGAAAATATATGTATTTGGTTTTCCTAATTGTTAGTAGTGTGGCCTATAATGATAAAATCTTTAATAATATTTTTAAAACAATATTTAATTCATACTATACATAGATATAGCTAATGCCAGAAATCTTGTATATCTATATTATAAAAGCCCTTACCTGACAATGTCAAGTCTAAATATGCCTCCAACAACTTGATGCCGTCCCGTCTGAAGCGCCTTACAAATTTCGGATGTCTTGTAGTCAAATCGCTGTCCGTTACAACATACTGAGCCAGCAAGGAAGCAAAAGTTACAGGCGTGGGCGCTAGAAGCCTCCATCGCACATGCTGGCCCACCATCCATTCTAACTGCCGGAATGTGTTTCCACATAGTTGTACACCGCTGGCCTTTGATAATGTTTTCAGGGTTGGTGCTAGGCTAAATTTTACGTCGCTCTTTGCTGTTAGAATAAAAACACTTATTTATTTACACTCGTTTGAACAGTTAAAAGATAATATTAACAATAAACTTATCGCTACTAAGCTATCACTTCCAGGCAACACTAATTAAAGTAAATTGTGAAAAAGTGCAAAACTTAATTTAAAAAAGGGTCCGTTACTTATGTACCGCTAAGAAGTTATACTTCTTTGGCAATATTAAAAATAGTTTGGCTTTGTTCCACCTCCAGTTTTGATGTTTCACACGATAAGATGAAAACTCTTTTTGTATTCAATTTAGTGCAGTTACACTGATTCATCAATTGTTTTTTGTCTCTTTTCCTTATATTTGCTAGATAAAATCAGAAAAATTAATGTTTTGATTAAACAATGTGGTTAATTTTTTAATCAAAACATTACTCGATAATAATAATAATACATACGGATAGTTAACCTCAATTGTATTGAAGCACTTAGGAAGGTTGATGAGACAGTTTTTCTCAAATATTAATTAGTATTGGTTTAAATATTCAATTTAAATCATTCTGATTATAATTCAAAAAGCATCCTAAATTTCTTTGAAAAAATAATTAAAACTCCTTTATTTTTAATGACAAATGTCATTATGGTCATTCAAAATTTGGCTACGAACTTCACATATTCTATTTCTTTTACTTTAGATTGTCTTATTCCTATCTCCTCCCACCTATAATCACACTCTAATTTTGTGTCACGGGTGCGCGATTTAAAATTTCACTCTCATAAATTTTTCATAACCGCCTAAAAACTTAATTTAAAAAATAATAATGATGAAATCTTGATACAAATTATAAATGTAAAAAAAAATATTATTTAAATAGTCAAGAGATTAAATAAGCATGTCCTGTGGGTTGTTTATAAAGCGCAGTTGTATCTCAATATTTATACTTTATAGGTGCTATTGGGGAGTACTATGGCATATTACAAAGAACTCTGGCATAATGACAATTATTGTAATTATGTAAAAAAGGGCGGCTCTTTACATTAGGTGTGTTCAAATCCGAATCAGGCCTAACATAGCGTGCCTGTGTACTGCGGAACATACTAGTTGCCTTTACAAAAATACCAGTAGCTCTGCAACCTCTAGGTCTTGGCCTCAGATTTTAGAATCAGTTTTGTGATCATTTTTGTATCTCAGTGACCAGCTTTCTGTGCCTTACAACGCCTTAAGATTTTTTACTCAAGGCATGCAGGTTTAAATTTATGAACTAAAAACTCATCATCTAAATGAAGTCCTTCCAAAAAGTCTGCCCAATGCCGTTTAGATGTCTCAAGGACACGGAACAATTGTGATAAAGTAATAGGTTATTTCGTTTAGCCTGGTTCTGTATCCTTGTGTAAGGCAACACTCTAATATTAATTACACTATGTCGCCATATTTCGCAATATTTACGTTAGGTACTGGGACAGGTAGATGACCTTACTACTCAATTTTATGTTCAATTAGTCACTTCCAACAATATAGCTTTCATAAGATTTAATATTACTTTGTATTAAATAAATAATTATGTTATTACATAACTGCAATTTATATTGTGGATGTAGATAAGATAGCTCATTTTGTAAAATAATATAGGATACTTTATCCTAATCCAATAATGTACATTGTCATAATAAAACAAAGGCTTTATATTCTGTTAGATTAAGCATTTCATTAATAGTCCATTTCTATATCCTGTGCATGGCTGGATCAGCTATTCAGGATACCAGGTGATAAATCCCATACAATTGTATGGTCAAGTAATTGAAACTTACCTGCTAAACTTAAGCAAGCCAGTGCTACGTGTGTGAGTCTATCAGACCTTAATCTATGGGCATCCATAAATAGGTCTAAGTGAGCCACAGCTGAGTGTATAGTTGCAATGGACAATCCTAGCTTTTTAGATACTTCACGTAACTGTTGAACTAGGGCGCCACGAAACTCCAACTGTAATAAAAAACACAAATTTAACATACTGACAGAGCTGCTAAATATCCCTCACTCTTAATATTTTCTTCTCCTAACAATATTAAAATAATTGACTTGGGTATGAATTGAGGCTGGTGTAGTATTTTAAGTGAAATCCTTAATGTGGTTATTTTTCAGATATAACCTTATGCCTGATCAGAGTGTTAAATGTATGAGTTATTAAAAGAGTGACTCTATTGTTGCATGTATAAATACAGTAATAATATAATAAAATTGTTTGAGGATTAAAAGTTAGTGAACTTCTACACATATTTGTTTTACTATTTTAGCTTTTTAACATCTTATTTCTTTACTGACACTAAATATTATACAATTTTAATCACTTTATATTACACACTTGTAAGTACATAATGTATGTACTACATACATACAATATTGCATCAGCAATGTTGTGCCATGCAGCCATCACATATAATTTGAAATAATTAAAATTAAGGTAATTTTCTACTTTTATGTCTGTATGAAGCAATTTTTATGTATACACATACATTTCAAAAACGTTTTTTTAGTTCAGGGCATTATTTCTAATGAATTCAACCCATAATTTCTATTTCTAGAAGGACTAGGCTAGATTTTTTTAAATTTAACATCATAAATTATATATGTACAAAAATGGATAAAAGTTTATTTTATGTTGTGTATCTCCAATTAATATACTTTACATTCCTCCCATATGTTCTAACTAATATGGAGTTTTAATTTGGATGACAGGGCCACTTTCCTATCGGAACAATTCCAGCGGGGTACCTATGAATTATATTCCTTTAATGGGGAAACCCCAATATTTAACTGAATGAGGAGAATAACCTTCTATTAGTCCATTGAATTTCTTTCTTTCAACAGTCAACATCAATTTAGTTTGTGTTCTAAAACAAGATGTTATATTTTTTTTTTCAAAATCTTGAAGCTATGTTATAAAAAAAATTACCTGTGGCGACTGAAGTTGTATTGTTGGTTTCATAGATTCCTGTTTAATCAAATATTTCCAAATGTCCTCCTTGTATTCACATTTGAATTCATCATCTGGATCCAAAAATGTCTAAAAATAGAATAAATTTAGGATTACATAAATATTAATCTACTAAGCCAGTCCAATGAAAATATGTCACAATGTTTTTGTTTCAAGATGTATATAAGTTTAATTTTATTTAACTAAACATTACAGTTTAAACTGTTATAGTTTTTAGATTACATTAAATTATTAATTAATTTATAGTGTTATTAGTGCAATCTTAGTTGTTACATAAATAATGAAAATAAATCAAATAGTAATCAAAATAATAGTATTAGAATTAATTAAATTCTCGAACTTACATTTGATTCATATTTAACTACAGAAACTTGTTTTTTCTCGGTTCATTAGGAGCTTCACTTTGAACGGTAGATAAATTTAATTTTGACATATTTAACGAATCCATTTGGTATATTTTTACTTTAACTAATTAATAATAAATAATATGAATAAAAATTAACACGTCGTCTTTCACTTGACAATCACCACGTGGATATGAACGTCAAATAATCTAAGAAAGAAAAACTATTTTAATTTAGCTAACAGATTTATTGACAGAATACACATCATTTAATCAAAATTAAACAAATTGATGCGAATATCACTCATAAAAAATGTAAATGATGCAATGCAATGCAATCAAAATTCAGCACAGTGCAAAAATTTTGAAGAATGCAGTATGCGCATTGCGAGCGACAGCCGACAACTCACTACACACGCGGAAATCGGAATTGAATGAAAACTGTGTTCGGACATCTGGCAGAAATGAGAAGATTTACATCCAAGCATCAACGAAATATCAAAATGTTAAACTTCAAATTAGACACTGACAGTTTGACTCAGATAAATTACCGATAGATTTTTTATTTTGCTACTGTGTGGCTACACACACAATGACCTATACTTTCAATGAATTTATTATATCCGTGTACACCAGTCTTTCAGTCGAATTATTTATTACACGATCATAGAGTGACCGATTGTTAGAAAATATATTTGCGAAAGTAATAATCTTCCCCCTCATTAATGTAAAAAATAGGTTGGCAGGCTATTTAGATATAAAAGCAACATTTTTACTTATGCCTTTTTAGAAAAAAAAAACACCAGAAAGAAAAACATTTAATAGTTATTTTTAGCATTACTTAGTTTGCATACTCTAGTACTCTAAAAGCTAGGGAGCTGGCGAGCATTTAAGTTGTATATGATTCGCTCGTATTTCGCATTGATAAGAATTAAAGTTCGGATCAATACGACAACATTCTCTTAATGAATTAAGGTCGTACGTTGCTGCGTTTTTAAGCTACAGGAGTTTAAATCTGTAAAAAAATCGATACTAAATAATTTATTCGTGTCTGCCTCTGGGGTTGTTGGTAAAACCATTAAGATAATACGTATTGGTGGCTGCCTCTCTGGCTGCTCGTTTAAGCAATATAAAAAACAGTCAAAGAGGCAGACACAAGCAAATGATATAGCACACTTTATTTGTCGACACTTTTGAAACGCTCTTAATAGAAAACGCAGCGTTGGTGGCCATTCACGGGTGATCCATATGGCTTTCGCGCCACGGGCTCGATACTCGACGTCGCCGAGCCAAATTCGTGCCATTCACGAACACGCCAGCGTGGCAGCGAGCCGTTCCATTTGATCATTTTGAGCGTAGGCGTCGATAGCACCGGACGTGTTCATAATGAACTTCGATTCAGAAGATTAGTTTTATTTATCTACCATAGCGATTTGTCTAGTTTTAAAAAAAAGAAAGTGGTGTAAGGATCGGTTGCTGAAAAGATCGCAACTCACTTACATAGATTTAATGAAGGAGTTGACTTTTTTTTCTAAACTTATAAATAAATTGAATAACAAAGTCACGGTTAGAAACCATTGCGAAAACGATTTATAATAACAATGCGTCACGTGCTTCTCGTCCAACGGCTAAACGCAAACTAAAATCAAAATGGCGTGTTTAGCTCGCGAGTAAAGTCGGAAACACACTTACGTGTCGTGGCGTGTCGTGACGCGCCAGAAGCAGATTGGTTTCATACATTTAATATGATTAGAAACATATTTGCATGTTGTGTCGTGTCGCAACACGTTCTGTCTAATCATACTAAAATATGCTTCTGGCGTGTCGTGATGCTTACTGTCGTGACGGTGAGTGTGCACACTTAAGGCGGAAACACACTTACGTGTCGTGGCGTGTCGTGGTGCTTACTGTCGTGACAGTGAGTGTGCACACTTACGTGTCGTGTCGTGGCGTACTCTGGCGTTATTTCTGAACAGTACTTAACGAACCTTTGCAGCGTTCAAACATACATAATGTTTTCTTCTGATTCGGATAGTGATTTTGATGAAGACCTTCAATTTCTCTTAGCAATGAAACTTCTTAAGACCAAAAAAAAGAAAAGATACTGGGTTCACCCTATAAACAGAGGGAGACAAGACAAAGGTGAATTTCATCGTCTTGTTAAAGAATTAGAGAGTGACGAAGAGAAATTTCATCATTTAATTTCATTTTTATTTCATTTTTGCTAGATGTTCGCCACCATGCACGCCACGAGCCACGCGCCGGTATAGAAACACATTTGCCTGTTGTGTCGTGTCGCGTCATAACCCCCACCACCGCTCTGGCGCAATCGGTGGTGAGGAGTCGGCGCCACGACAGAACGTGTTGCGACATGACACGACATGCAAATATGTTTCTAATCATATTAAATGTATGAAACCAGTATGCTTCTGGCGCGTCACGACACGCCACGATACGTAAGTGTGTTTCCGCCTTTAACTCCATTCACGAGCGAGCAAACCGTATGGCACGATGGCTCAGACCGACCGGATCGTTGGTTTTCCACATTCACAAGCGAGCCGCCTGCGTATGCGCGCCGCGCCAATTGACTCGGCGCGATGGACTTTCGCGCAGTTGGATTTTCATCGCGCCGAGCCAATCCATTTGGACCGACAGTGTTTTCACATTCATGGACGAATTTTGGATCGACAGCGTGCCAAAGGTATCGATGGATCGCCCGTGAATGGCCGCCATTACGATGGTGGCAGGCTTTTTTCCTGTAGTCGGTCGCAGTAAACGAACTCTACAGGTCTACAGGTCTAATAAGCGAGCATTAACCATATTTTTTTTTTTAATTATAAAAAATCATAACTTAAGAAAAATCAGAATCCTAGATATCTGCCTCTTTGATTTTCTGTATTTTGTTAAGGTTAACATCAGCCTTAAAGGAAGAGACAAACAAATGATATAGTATACCTGGTTTTTTAAAATAATTATCGCTACGAAAGACTTCCACACGAGCAAATCAAATATATATTTGTTCGCCAGCTCCCTAGATATAAGCAAAGAATATGCTAATGTTGTTTGATTGATCGTGAACTCTTTATTTATGTAATATGAGAAGTACTCTTATGTATTTGCTGGAATATAATATATTATATATAATAGAAATGTTGCCATAGTAACGGTATTTGCAATATTTACAATTTAATATTTTGAAGTTATACATATAGTACTTCTTTAGGCGCGTTATGAAAAATTTATGAGAGTGAAATTTTACGATGCGCGCGAGTTAAGAGTACCAACCCTATTGATATATGCTTTGCTAGCACTAAACCAAATATATGTTAAGTTGATTATTGTTTAGTTCTTAATTAAGTGCTGTCACTCTGTTGATTTAAATAAATTATTTTTAAACCAAAAGTCCGTTGCCGTTCCTTTACTCGCGCACCGTGACACAAAATTAATAGAATGAAGATGCCCACGGAAGATGCTACGGCATTGGACATAATTTAAAAACAACATTCGAATAATAATAGAATTTATGTTACACTTAATGTAAGAGAATAATAATAAATATTAATTTATTTAATTTTTCGAATGTAAACTGAACTTTATTGACTATAATGACTCCTTTTCCAGTCTTTGAATGTTTAATTGTAATTAATTATTTGCATGCAAATAATTAATTACAATTAAATATTTTTAACAATGCTAAAGAAGTATAACTTCTTACGCGCGTACATAAGTACACGCACCCTTATTTTCATTATAAAAAGGTTTTTTTTTTCTAAAAATTACGATGCAAATGTAATATGGAAGTTTACACGATTTTGTTTAAGTTATTTTTCTCATAGATTTTGTAATGTTCTGTTTCACTCTAGAACTCTATGAGTGCATATAAGCTGTTGTCATGTAGATATCTCTAATCTCTGTATTTGGACTGTCGAGTGGCGTGTCACCAAATGTTTAATGTCATGATCTGTCACTGTTTACTTGCGACAATAAGAAGTGTAGACTGTAGAGTGTAGATTCAAGAATCAAGACTACTGAGTAGTGAGTACTGAGTAGTACTGAGTAGTGAGTACTGACTAGTCCTCCTAGTCTGTGATGACTGATGGAGTGCTATTAGATCTTTTAACTCTTACATTTTATATTTTTGAATAATTTTTGCAATCTCATTAAAAACAGTGCAGAATATTGTGCGAAACTAAGTTGCTAACAATGTCTTATTCAAATAGTAAGTTGCTACAATCGCCCTTATATTATGAACACGTTCTTTGGGGCGTGAAAATTTTCGGTTGGCTATAAACGAGTGTTCTTGCTTATTTTTCAGAGTATACACTAGCGGCGCTCCCTAGGACTCAGCGGGGCACACCATTAGTACTTGGGGGGGATCCCAAAGGAAATAATTTCTTGTACAGTAATGGGAATTCGGTAATAATTCGCAATATAGAAAACCCGGCGATTGCAGATGTGTATACCGAGCACTCTTGCCAAGTCAATGTTGCTAAATACTCTCCGAGTGGATTCTATATAGCTTCCGGAGGTAAGCTAAGCTTATAATTGCTTTGAACGTGTAAATGTTATGTTTCAATATTTTTCACCATGATCCAAGTTTTCTGCAAATATTGTTCATATAGGTCAGCTTATAATCTGAGTAGTATATAAAATCTGAGTGGTATATAAAAATTTTTTTAAACAAACTAATCAATAACTTTGCTTTATTTATAAATTTTTAACCATGAAAATCCTTACTGACATTGATGAGTCATATTGTAATACATTACTATTTAAGGACATTCCCACTATCTTATCATAGTGTATTTATGTAGCCATATTTGGTAGTAAATCATGGTTGGGAACAGGAAATAAATATAATAGTTGAAATATAATTTAATATATAATTGTCTGTAAAATAGACCCAAAAAGCTTTGCATGTATACAAAAGTAAAAGGAGTGTATAACAATAAGAAAGTTAAAAAAAAATAATAATATACTAGGTGTGGCATTTATATTAGGAGTGATATAATCATCAGATTCTTAAAACTGGCACTTATCAGAACAGTAATTTTTAACAGATAACTTGGTTATTGACATTATCATTATCAAATCAATTAAATAGGTATAATTCATATGTGTATCAGGTTAATTTTGCTTTAGTACTTCAAAAAGATAGTCTTATTTAGGTTGCCTACATTTATATAAAACATAAAACTTGATATTTTTTGAACTGCTTTTATTTATATTGTTTTGATCCAGGAATCTTATTCACACTGTTATAGGCAGTGTAGCTGTTGTACAATATACATTTGTCTAAAAGAGATGTAATTATGAATTTTATAGTGGATCATTTAATATTTTGCTTGCAAAAGTATACAACAATATGTTTTATTTAAATTGTTAATTCTAAAATAAGTTCTTATCAAAGTAGTTGCCCTCATGCTATAAGATTAACAAATAAGGTATTGAAAATTGTTTGTTGTTTAAGTACTGTTAAACCCCAATTGAGTCTGGGGGTTACACATTTCTGTATTTGAATCATTGGAATTCTGTTTATTTAAATTTGCATGATAACTCCTTCTAAATACAAAACAAAATACTTTCCAAGTTTACCTGATTCTTGGCATAATGTGCCAAAATCCAATGATATGTAGGTCTAAACTATCTAAACTCTTTTTTTTCATAATCCTCTTTAATAGGTTATTTACAGTAAATATTTTATTAAAATACCAACATGGAAAGCATTTTGCAACCAACTTATAGACTTGTGACTTACATTTAAAATTAAATAACTTTTTGTTAAAATCCAATGCAGCCGGGGAAAGTTGTATTAGCTACTATTGTGTATGTAGAAAGAAGTTAGAAGTGTAGAATCTCTAAAACAGATATTTCTTGAGTTTGTCAACAAGTTATAGCATGTTTTGATTATTTCATAAATGAAACTATATTATAATCTTTTAATCAAATCTTATTATACTCAAGCTCTAATGGCTAGCTATAGTTATGTATGTATATGTTTGTATTGTGCAACATCATTTATTTTTCTCATCTATATACTAAAGTTATTTAATTTGATTGGGTTTACTTAACCCTACCAAACATGATAAAAAACACATTAAAAATTTATATTATTATGAAGTCACAAAGAATAAGTAATATATACAACAATATCACAATGTGGAGATTGAATTATTTAGACATTTAGTTCAGTATTAATACTGATGAATCTTATAGGTATAATACATAGTACATAAGATTAAAAAAAAAATCAACTATTAATTTAAGCAGATAAAGCTCGCTTTATTTTCCGACCGCCTATATTTCGGTATCTTGCGAACGAAACCGCGCGCATAAACTAGAGTAAAAATAAAGCAACCTATAATTTTCAAGTATGTGAATTTCAATATTTTTTTGTTATCGTAGCTATGCGGGTAATCAGATACTAAGGGTTAGGCGTTAGGTTTCTTAGGCGACCTGCGGATTCAACTAAAGGTTTTGTTTAACTAAATATAAATCTTGTTCGGTAAAATTTGCATTGTCTGTATAACGCTGCCATGGATAACGTTAGTGTGAATCCATTTATTACTCGGAATGAAGCTTTGTATCGCCTGCTTAATAAAATAATTGCTATTCTAAAAAATATCTGGCTGATACAAGCATAAGATCTAAACAATCTAATAGGAATCAACGCTCCAGTTGGCCCTGATCCAACATCTATCGCCTACAATCTCTAAAACCGTACAACTTCAACATTCGTATCATATTTCCTAGCTATAACTGTGATTATGACTACTTAATTTTATGATTGTTACTGTATTTGAAAATAAGTACCACAAGAATATTTCAACTATTTCAGGTTTTGAACTACGTCATTGCTTAAATAAGCCGGTGACTCACTTGTATAACACCTGGCATTGGTGGTCTCTTAACAGAAGATGAGAAATTTTTCCTCTACTTTATAGACATCATTCGCATATTAATATGAACATGTTAATCTTGAGCTCAGCCAAGAATACAAAAATAACTATATATAACAAGAACTATTAATCAAGAACTCTGGGTACAGAAACCTTTTCTTTATTGAGTGTTATTTATTACCTATCGTACTTATTTATTCTTAACAATAATTAATGTTCACAATCACGTAATTCGCCGGCTCATTTCACAAAAGCAAACCATAAACTATTTATATTTATTGCTCTTAAAGTTCACGAATTTAACCCAAGCATGAAGTTTTTTAGTATTGCAAAGTTTCGAGAAAGTTGTTTTATTTTGAGTCGTCAGCCGTGACGTTACCAGTTAAAATGTGCTGCCACATAAATTAAAATCAAGATAGGTGATTTTAAAAATGGTGAGAAGGAATCAACTACATTGTTTTAGGATATTTTTATTGAGTTATGTGTTACTTTCGTGAATTAGTTTGCGTTTAGCGATGAGCGGCCTAGTTTTTCATACAAACATTTTAGTCTTAGGGTATTGATATTTTTTATAACTTCCTAGTTACGGTTACTATGGTGACGATCCTCCCTTCGTACTGGTTTAAAAAACGGTGTTACTTAGGTGTACCCAACAGATCACCAAAAATATTATTTTAACAATAGGGTGGCAGGGCTGGCAAAATGCCACGGGCCCCCGACCCAAGAGGGCCCCTGCCCAAGAGATATTATGTTCTATTGATGAATGTGAAGCCAATTACGCATTGGGCTAGTGGGGACTACAGACCATTCCCTCTGGCCTAAGAGAGGAGGCCTATGGCCATTAGTGGGACATATACGTAGTTGGTCCCAAAGTTCTGTCACTAGCACATTATTTCTACATTTCGAGCAGGATTTTATAAAAAAATTATTGCATTCTATTTTGGAATGTTTGATTATTGTTATAAAACAAAAAACAATAACTTTCCGTAATTTTTCACGATGGAGTGGACATTGAAAGTAAACCGAATAGTTGTTATTGCGTTGCACCGCTGTGGACACTCGCCGAGTACCATTTTCAAGTTGCTCAAAAATTTGAATATAACGCTTAGGTTTGTGTACGGTACTATTGATAGGTACCTTGAAGTCTCCAGTGTTGAGGACAAGAAAAGAACTGGCTGGCCACGCTCCGCAAGAACACCAGCAGTAATCAAAGCTATCAAGGCGCGGATAGTAAGAAATCCTGTCCGAAAACAGAAGTTGATGGATTTGCAGATGGGTGTCAGTAGGAAAACAGTAAAAAGGTTTTAAATGAAGATCTTGGTCGACGAGCATACAAAAAAAGAGTGGGCACTTACTTAATGCTCGTCTAAAAGCAATAAGGCTTAAGAGATCGCGGGTGTTGTTTAAGCGGTACGCGAAAAACCGACACCGTGATATCCTCTTTACGGACGAAAAATTTTTCGATATTGAAGAGAAGTACAATAAACAGAATTATACAGTGTACGCTAGGAGTTCTGAAGAAGCTGAAAATAAAGTTCCAAGGGTGCAACATGGACATCATCCATCATCAGTAATGGTTTGGTTGGGAGTGTCCTATTACGGGCTAACTGAGGTTAATTTTTTTCGAAAAGGGGGTCAAAACCAGTGCTACAGTGTACCAAGAGACGGTTTTGTATCGCCTTGTCAAAGACATGTCCAGCACCCTATTTGCGGGACATCACTTCGTGTTCCAGCAGGACTCTGCGTCTGCATACAAAGCCAAGACCACTAAAGCCTGGTTTGAGCGTCAAAACATCGTCTTAATTAGACATGAGGATTGGCCTTCCTCCAGTCCGGACCTTAATCCTTTGGACCAGAAATTATGACAGGGCTTAGAGAGGAAGGTCTGTGATAAACCTCATGAAAATTTGGAGAATCTGAAGTCATCTTTAAAAAAACCAGTGACTGAAATCGACACGAATATGGTGCGTGCTGCGATAGACGACTGGCCGCGACACTTAAGGGCCTGTATTAAAAATGAGGGAGGTTATTTCGAATATTTTTATGCTTTTTTTATTCCTTAATTAATGTACTAAGAATTGATATATCACTCATTACAAACTGATCAGTACTTTTGTTTTTATCATTATTTCCATTTATGACAGAACTTTGGGACCGACTACGTACAACGTATAATTGAGTACTCTGAAAATCTGAGTATAACGTATCGATTTTTAGTGATACGGCCCCATCAAAAGAATTTGCCACGGGCCCCAGATGGTATAGTTACGCCACTGGTAATGAACCTTCTGTCGAATCTGTTTTGAATTTTGGAGCCGTATAAGTTTCAAAAAACATACAAGATATGGTCGTAAGATACAACGTAGTATTCTTAATTCTGTAATTTCGATTTCGTCGATTTTGGTAATGAGTATAGTAAAGTTTACTATTGAAGTAATTACATAAATTTATTTGCTCTCAGACGTATCCGGCAAAATTCGTATCTGGGATACAGTAAACAAGGAGCATATCCTAAAGAATGAGTTTCAACCAATTGGAGGTCCTATCAAGGACATCGCTTGGAGTTCAGACAACCAGAGGATGGTTGCCGTTGGCGAGGGTAGAGAGAGGTATTGAACTTCTTATTAAATATGGCACTTAGGTTTTTTTTCACAATTATAAATAAATTATACCCTAGCCGATGAACCTGCGTGATAATAATAATTATTCAGTGATTTGTATTTTTTCTTCGTATAATATATTACAAGCAAAGAAATGACAGATTCATCAAATTAATATAATACAAATGTTTAGCAAATATTAATCTAATTGTGCTATTTTTGATATGCACGCCGTTTCCATATTCATCCTTACCCATATCCGGAAACGCGTTTGCTCCATGGCAGGCTTCACTCACGGTGCATGAACCTTTTCAGATTCGGTCACGTGTTTATGGCGGAAACGGGGACATCGGTAGGTGAGATCAGCGGCCAATCAAAGGCCATCAATTCGGTCGACTTCCGGCCAGCTCGGCCCTTCCGCATTGTTACGGCTTCCGAGGACAACACGCTAGGTGTATTTGAAGGACCACCCTTCAAGTTCAAATGTACTAAACAGGTATGTTGTAATTTAATATTTCCAATACATGGATTAAATAAAAATCAAGAGATTTAATAAATTGTAAAATGGTTTTTTGGCTGAAATTACGTTAAGTTAACCATTGGTTTCATCAGAGTATTACTAAAATTAGGAATATAAATATCCGTTCTACGACAAATAGTTTATTTTTATAGTAAAATTTCTAACCTTATATAATGTATATATAGTACTTCACTCTTCTATCTGTCAAACTAAGTGGGTTTTCAACAAGAACTATGATTTTCCATATGGTCACTCCGGAACTTCATAACAGTTTTGACATTTAAATTTTTACATATAGGTAGTAGAAGCTTAAGCAGAAGTCTTTCGTAGAGTAAAAATTCAATACTTTTCATCTAAATTAATTTTTATTTACAAAACAAAGATCTTGTTTACAATTTTACAATAGAACAATGTTATGAAGTAATTGAATATTGCTAATATGTATCAATATTATGTAATGTCAGGAGCACACTCGTTTCGCCCAAGCAGTGCGGTACAGTCCTGATGGAAAGCTATTTGCCTCAGCTGGCTTTGATGGCAAGATCTTCCTCTTTGATGGACAGACTTCGGAGCTAAAGGGTGAAGTAAGTTTCAATCTTCTAATGTTCTTCTTTTGCACACATTTTTTTTTAACACTTTATATGAATTAGACTTTTAGCCTATACAATAATTTTGGCCAATAAGATTTAGCTTTATATATATAATATTCTATTAATAAAAAACATAAATTATGATAATGTTCAATAACATTTTTAAAGAGCTATAATGCTTTAGCACTATGATCGCGTGTCAAAGATATCAACACTTCACTTAAACCGCGATATTTAAAAAAAAACCTGTTAATTAAATGATTTTAACTGTTCTCAACTGTTTCTTTCCGTTTTCGCGTAAACACAATATGACAAAGAGTGATATAAAATAACGTAAAGAGAGCAATTAAGTCGGTATAAACACTAACGCACGCAATCAATATTAGTAAAACAGTTCTCCTCAAATAGTTCCTCAAACAACTTGTATAGGTTAATCAAAACTTATTAAAATTTCTACATTTCAGATTGGTTCCCCAGCCCACAAGGGTGGTGTATATGGAATATCCTGGTCTCCAGATGGTAAGCAGCTGTTATCCTGCTCTGGAGATAAGACTTGTGCCATATGGGATGTGGAGACCATGCAAAGGGCTGTTCTCTTCCCCATGGGTACTGCCGTTGAGAATCAACAGGTTAGTATTAGTCTGATCCAAATTTTGCATGGTGGATTCCTTCATGTACATTTAGTAAGAACCCTACAGACTTGACTACTAATATACATCTAAGGATGGATGAGTAACTGTAAGATATCTGTCTAGCTAAGAGATGCAGCTTGCTGTGCATCTGCAAATTAGATAGATGATTTGACATTTAAAAGTTGTGAGGTGAATTATGTATTTTGATATGTTTGGTGAATATTGTTTTGTTTTTGTGTAACATATACAATAAGAACTTAAAATGATTCTCTGAGAAAATGTGTGAATATTTTTTTTTTTGTTAACTTAATCTATATTGACTCGAGAGCAAGTTTTAAGAGCTCTCAAACCATTTTTTCTGTAAAAAGTTTGACATATTTGACAGCGCCCAAGTCAAGATTGTTTCTTGAGATACGAATATGGACCTGAATATTTTTTGATTGCTTAAAACTTGTTGTACTGAAAAAATTATCTCTATGTACTATTGCTTCGCAAATAAATGGTAGAATTATGTTATATAAAACAGTTGTAATTCACCAGAAGTCTATTTTTTTAAAGGTGTGGTGCTAGCATTAACATAATGTATAATTTTTCAGGTATCTTGTCTATGGCAGGGCAAGCATCTCCTAACTGTGTCTCTCTCTGGGGACATCAGTTACCTGGACATTGAGAACCCTGAGACCCCCCTCCGAGTTATAACGGGGCATAACAAGCCAATCACCTGTCTCTGCTTGTCTTTGGACCGGAAGAGGCTGTATACAGCTAGTCACGATGGAGCGGTTTCACATTGGGATGTGAGCAATGGTTAGTTGTTCAATTAACTTTATATAATTAGTATTGTGATTTTATTAATTCTAAACAAGTGATAATTTTTATGTCTAAAAAGATAAAAGACATCAAATATTTTCCAGCTAAGAACAGTTTTTTTAGGAAATTCAATTGTCATTTTAAAATCGTTATTATCTAAATCGGTCCAGCCATTCTCGAGTTTTAGCGAGACAAACAGAAATTAATTTTTATATATATAGTACATGGATTGTATAAATATCACTGTGTGGATATGTGAAAAATATATGCAAAAAACTTATTTTCATATATAATATTGAGAACCTAAAAGTTTTTTTGTCGTGTTTCATTGAAATCTAGAACCAAGGAAATGTGTGCAACTGAATTTAACGAGCACAAGCTACTTCACAAATGAACCTTTTATTAAAACCATATTATATATTGTATTTTAACAGGTGTAGGCGGTAAGGTTCGAGGTACTGGCCATGGTAACCAAGTGAATGGAATGCGTATGACGAATAACGGGGTGTTATTGACTTGTGGAATCGATGATACGCTGCGCAGGATTGACGTGCAGGCGGAAGGTAGGTTTTTAAAATTACAATAATATTATTTAGTTACCGGTTTAACCATTATTTTACGAAAAGTATTTTCGGTGCATATTTTATTGGTACAAAAAGACCAACAATATTGGTCTTTTACCAATTTTTATATCTTATACCAAGTCCATAGATGTCAAGAGAATTTAAATAGAAAATAATTCATAAATAAAAGCAATACTTGTAGTACTAAGATAATAAATATTCTTATCTATTAAAAATACTAAATAAAAGAAACATTAGTTTTCTTTATTTTTATTATTCTTTTTTTTGTTTGTAAGTAAAAATATTTTTAATAAGTGGTTATCCCCCCGATTTCAGGGGATTCGCCGTCATACTCCGACCAAGCAGTGACTCTTGGAGCGCAGCCTCGTGCTTTGGACCAATTATTGGACGATGATATAACTATCGTTACTACTGTTAAGGAGGTTGGTACATATAATACATTCAAAAGAGACATCAAAGAGTAATGAAAACAGATATGTTTTTAAAAATTTGGTACTACTTTAGGTCTCAGATTTATGTATCTGTTTTGTGATATTTATTTCTTTATGGCAGCCTTCTGAGCATTGAATACGTCTTCTAAGGCAAGCCAGTTTCTTCGTAAAGTTTTCTTTCATTCATTGGCCAATCCATCCTAGAGCAGAGGTTGAACTAGGCCAATTTATAATTAGTACCCTAAATAATAATATATCAGAAAACTAAAGTGGTCATTTAATTTATAATATCTTAGAATTACTCTGTCATCTATTGGCTGGGTTATATTAAGTCTGTCACAATTTTATTTTCAGCTAATTGTCCTGTCGGGTGGTGTAAAGAAATCGACTGTGGCGATTAAATACGAGCCGTCATGCGTTACAATCAACCATCAGACTAAGCATGTAGCAGTTGGAGGTTTGTCTTTTTTATATTATTTTAAGTGTTAGTTGATACTATAAATCTGTCTGTCTTTAAAAAAAAATTAAATAAATTTTCCTATTGATAACTGCTTAATTGAAATCCAGACGGACCCTTAAATTTGAAGCTACACTCTTTATTCATTAAAACGATATGTAATAGCACTCTTCATTGCTCTTTCGTCTCTTACTGTCAAATTGTGTTAAAGCTGTGATGGAAAGAGACAGATGAGTTCAGTTAAAATCATGCAATTGATTTATTATTGAAACAAATACGAACTTGAGGCCCCAACATGGGCCTTCACTACCATTAAATTTAGAAAATGTCATGATCGTAGAACAATGTCGGATTTGAAAAATATCCAAAGTCCACTTCATTGACTAAATATTACGCCTAGAATAAAAAAAAATCATGTGTTTTAAATTCCAAATTAATCTGTCGGTAAAGTGACGGATTTGATGGAAATGTGATTTTTCTAGAAAACTGTGTAATTTAATGTCATTATTTTTATTTTGTTTCAAAACTAACCCTTTTGTTTGATTGTATGCCAATTTTCATAATAACAGAATATGAATTAAAATAGTTATGACAAAAACTAACGTGAATATATTATTTTGAAATGGCTGCCCTGTTTGCCCTGCACTATTTGTCAGATCCGTCACTATTCTTCGACTATCACGTAAATATGCGAATCTACGAATCTTCTTCCCGAACGGATAACGTGAGACCATGTTTCAACGCTATATTGATCACTATTGCTTGTTACATATTATTTTACTTAATACAAATTACAGGATGAAGAATTCTTTATGAATTTTTTATTATTTAGAAATATTGTTAGTACATTCGATGTTTTGTATACCAGGTGATGATAGCAAAGTGCATATATACACTCTGGAGGGAACGAATTTGTCTCCCAAGACTGAGTTAGTACACCTCGGTGCTATTAGTGACGCCCGCTACAGCCCTGACTGCAAGTACCTCGTCGCCTGCGATGCTAATCGAAAGCTTATCTTATATGATGAGGAATATAAGGTATGTTTTTATTATCTTTAGTGATTGTATAGGAAGTGTTTTTATTAAACGTGTATAAAACTATTTTACCAATTATTAAATTATTAAATCAAATCAAAATCATTTATTCATATGGGTAACACAATATACACTTCTGAACGTCAAAAAAGAAATACATATTAAATGCTTCTAATTTTACATTAGTCTGTAGTTTTACTACTACTTATTCTGTATATAGTCTTTTCTTTCTATCTAAATTTTGTCTAAGAACAGTAAGAAATATTTTTTTGTTTGATATGCGAGGTGGAAATGCATTTGCGCATCCCCTGCCCTCAAAAGTTGCAGGGATATGTGGGACTCGAACCCATGCCAAAATCTCTGGTATTCAAAGACTGGGTGAGCAATACCCACTAAAACCACCTCAAGTAGTTCCTACAAAGCGCAGGTATCGCATTCTACCGGGACCTCAACGGGACGGTACACTAAAAAACCTCAGGTGCAGTATACACTACATAGGAGGTAGGAGATGGGCATATCTTCTCCTATTTACTCCCCGTCTTCTACCCCTAGGATTCGTCCTGAAGCGCTTCCTCTCTCGTTCTGATATCTCCTTCTGTAGCATAATATACTCACAGAAAGATACCGCTCATTCCTTACCTCGTTACTGCGACCATTTTTTGTACAACACAAGGCAAAGCAAGGTTAACATTTATCCACCATAATAATCTTATCATTATATCTTTTTTTTTTTTATAATTCACAGTTGGCCCATAATAAAGAGTGGGGTTTCCATACAGCCCGTGTGAACTGTGTTTCTTGGAGTCCTGATAGCTCCAGGGTCGTGTCTGGTTCTTTGGACACTAGTCTTATTGTATGGAGCCTCGCGCAACCGAACAAACACTTAACTATAAAGAGTAAGTTTCGTATAGAATCACAATTATCAATTTATTAGTGCAGTTTGTTTTAATTTAGGTCAAAAAAGTGTAAGATATTTTCGATTTTATGTGTATTTTTTACACTCTTTATACAGTTTTACGATGTGGCACTTGTTTCTCAATAAAGCTAATTAAGGCCAAGATAATTATGGCTATAATAATAAATTAGACATATAATAAAAAATTCTGTTCTTATGTGACAAAAAATCTATAGATTCGTAATAGGGAATTTAAAAATTATCTTGTATAGGATTAAAAAATATATTATTACTTTTATTTAAACTAATTAATGTTTTACTAACATAATTTTATTTCAGATGCGCATCCACAGAGTCAAATAACAGGCGCGGTTTGGATTGACAATGAGACGATAGCGTCGGTGGGACAGGACGCAAACACACGCATTTGGACCGTGCCGAGCGCTTAGTTTTATAATGCCACAACGATATATGGTGCGGTGGGTAAAACCGATGCATGTTGATTTTACCGCTACCGGGCCAGATAAGTATTTGGCGTCAATTGTAAGACAGTTTAAATACTGTAAAACAACGTACAGAGATGGACTTTGGGAGCCCCATGCTTGATTTGGGGGGCCCTATTAATATATATAACAGTTTTATCAAGTCCATTTTTGGAAATATTTTTAAGCTTAATATTTTTGGTACTTGAACAGAAAATGGTAAGCATATTTAGTGAACTTGCCACATTTGTTTTTGAACTAAATCTTTAATAATACAAACAGTACTAAGAGTATTCATTTGTATGTATTTATAACAAAGAGTTCTATCCTTAAAATATAACTAACGTATTTATTTAGCTTCTAAGATTTTATAGGAATACTCTGAACTGCATTTCTAATGAAATTATATTTATTGCGTTTATACTTAGATCTCAAAGATTACCGGTAACTTATAATTGCGTATTTTTAAAACCGCATTAAAATATTTTTTTAACACTACACGTAAAGATTCTAATGGATTATGGCGGAAATCAAATGTATAAGTTACCAGTAGTCTCTTCTACATAATAATGTAGAATTCAACTAATTGTGTGGAACGCATTTTACGCTTTTTTAACTGATTGTGAACAGTATGTGAACATGAACAGTATTTTTATACAAGCTAATTTTCTACAGACTGTCATTTTGATGCGTTTTTCTACTAATGTAAGGCAGAAATAAATTGTGTACACTTGTACTTGTATTTTTATTATCCATAATCATAGTAGTTGAATCCTTAAATAATAAAATAAATTAAGTTACATTACAATAATGATGACTGGAAATATGCAAATAAATATGGTGTTTTTTTTCTACCTACAATTCATGATGAACCTACATAAAAGCAACAAAAGTAGTTGCTTAATATCGGTAATGGGAGCAATATTTTACAGTTTATTAAATAAATCTTAGTACACTTATAGCACTTGGGTGTATACGTTGGGATTCAAAAAATATAATGAAACAGGGACGGACTTGGGGCCCAAAATCGAGGCCCTTTATTGGTCTTGGCTATCGTCAAAGTGAGTTTTTATTCGAATGTGCATGCCTATACGCAACGTGTTTTCTTAATGCGTCACGTGATCGAGAGACATGCGAACACGCGCGACATGCGTGACGTCTTCCAGCATGTGTTTCCATGTGCACGCGCAGGTTGTATTGATTACTAAGACGCTTGTTGCATATTGTACATATTGATCCACCACGCCATTTCTTTTCGTATTCCATTTGGGATATTGATGGTTCTGAAAATATAAGTGCAAAATATATGGTGGTGTAAGACAAATGCAACCATTTCTTTTGTTTCCTCAAGACTCGAGCCTAGACATTAGTTCTACGATTTAAGTAACGAAGGTGGTATGAAGTGAAATGGGGTATGTAACAAACAAATGTATACGTCGTTTAATTGGTTGTTTTACGTTACTACCAAGAAAGTGATCGGGCAGGGGAGTGAGAATGGAAAATCATACGTTTCGTTCGATTGTGATTGATCAAACGGACGTAATAACATGATCTATGCGTCATGTTGCGTGTCAATGTCAATGCCAGATTAGACTAGAGAGTAGAGAGACGCCGTTCACACTATCGAAAGGAGCCCACAATTATAGCGTCTTTCGCTTTATATCGTTACCTCCAATAAAAAATATGAAATTAGGTACTAAATTTATAAGAACATTGGTTTTTTAAATTGGTCAAACGACCGCAAGTATCAGGATCGGACACTGGGGTGGCGTTTCTACAATACTTTGATACAAAGGTCCGTGGAAAGAATCTTTATAAAGAACAATTATTACACTTACAACATTAGGTACATATTAAAAATAAGCGTAAACTAATTGTTGATAAATCATAAAATCTTACCCGTTAAGCTCTGGAGCACAGGCTGTGATAACATTGGCGTCGTCATATTACCAATTTTATGTGAAGTATACAGATTTTGAACTATTTGGTCTAATTTACTCAGCTTATCATTTCTTGTAATTTCCGACAGCTCTTTATCAAATAATTTCTCTGTATCTTCTTTGTTTGAAACATCTAAGTTAATGGGAGCATCGTTCGGTACTTCTTTAAGAGGTTCATTTTCACGCGGTAGAGCAGTGGAGTCCTTAAAAAATCAAATAATTATTAAAAAGCGAATCCGAAGACGCAGTAACATAATGAAGTAGTCTCTAATAGATATTGTGATGATTGTCCGGAGTTTGAATTTTATTATTTATTATTATATACCTACATAGTTAATGAGAGAAGTAATGAAAGTAGAATAAACTCCGTGGAAATGAGAGCGTAAAGAAGTATGTGTGGTGTAATATTGCGTGATAGGATAAGTGGCAGTAAGATACGCGAGCCGTGTGGGTTAAAAGAGCACGTAGTGACAAGGATACAAAAGGGAGAGCTTAGATGGTAATTCATATGGACTAAGGATGTAGACACTGGATAAAAAAAAAATCGATTTTTATTAATCGAGTATTTTGTATACAGGAGGCACCGATAATAAACGGTCGATAGTCTAGGAAGGCTAGGCCTTGTTGTATTCATGACTTTGACCAGATCCAGGACAAAATAAACACCCTAGAGAAGGGACAAGTTAAAAGTACCCATAACCAACGAGCATGCATGAAAGTGGATGAAGCGAGAGAGGTATGTCAGGACCCTAGAATAAATAAATAAATAGTTTATAAAAAAGGAGTTTGTTTAACTATAGATAGTTTTGCTGTCCACCAGGGTGTCAAACAAATTTACAAATTATTTACCAATGATAATATATTGTTCAAGTAACACAACAAATATTTGGCTACTACGAAGGTACATTGGAAGGACCAAGTCATTGAGAAATTATGGTTTTATATGTTAAAATTCTCATTTAAATAGCGTGAGCTTTATAAAACGAGGATTATGTTATTAAGTTATTGAAATGTGAAACTTTGACACGTGTAAAGGTTTACAATTATTTTTTATTTTAGTATCTCCTTACAGTAAGAGCAGAAAACTCGTACGCAAGCACATATGACTTATGTGACGTTGGTACTTATTAGCAATTATAAAAAATAGCTACACAAACCCGAAGTACAACGTGTTTCGTTCCTATATCCGCATATATCATTTAAATTGAGGTAACAATTAAAAATTTTCTTTAATTAATTTAAACAATTTATGATTGTGTTAGTTTTGGGTAACATACTTATATAAGTAAGGGTAATAAACGCATACCATTAATACTATAATTACAAATATAACATACATAATTCGCATCAGTAAGTCCGGACACTTGTAAGGACTGCGCCAGTCGCAATAGCGAAGGCAAATTCTTTCTCGCCGCTGTCACTTCACCAGTGTACATAAATGTAAGAAGTTGACGCAAGTCTGAAGCATCACAGTCCAAGATGACGACAACAGTGTTGTCCTCTACATCCTGATAAAAAAATATATTTAAGAGCTTACGCAGGCAAGAGATTTGGAGACAAGAGAAGTATAGTATGAAGTTGCAAAACTAATGGGGCATATGATAGATATTTTACTCATTTAATCATGCTACATACCAACGTATAATTTGTATGTGTTAGTTTTGGGTAACATACTCATAGTTATAAGTTAGGGTAATAAGCGGATACCATTGATACTTTTATTAATATTATGCGCTATATTTATTTATCTGGTGCTTTCTTGGCTCAACGAATAAGTATCGCAATACAGCGAGGAAATGCTGCCGCGTTAAAGGTACACTGCCACAGGGACCAAACTTTTAAAATTTGTTATTAGTTTTCTTATTAATAGTGTTTAATTATTTTTATTATTTCTTAGTACGTTAAGAAAATTGTAAATACAAATGATGAATATTAATTTATTTAATTAATATTATATTAATTTGACGAAATCAGCCCTGTGTGTGGCAGTCATATTTTCTTTTTTATTTAAGGTTTTCTGCATTGAATATAATATGTCAATTGCGCACTATTCATTAGTGCTTGGCCGGTGTTCAAACTCACGACCTACGAACTTGAGAATTAACCGCTAGGCTATATTTTTTTAGTTTTCCTGTCATCTTTATTAAACTTCTCCTTAAACACATACCTTGAAAATCTGTTCGAAGTATTGACTGCATGCAGCTAATACTAGTCTGTGGGCCTTCAGGGATACTCCATTTGCACTGAGCGTGACGTCACTCAGAGCACCTGACTCTAACATACGTCCGAGAGCACCGATAATGCTCATCTGAAATGGTTTAATAAAGGATTATTTAAATGTACTTCTTGTGTATTGAAAAATTGTAATTTTTTTAATAAAAGTTATCGACCCTATTTGAGATTCCGGTTTGTATACAATAGAAGGTATTAAGTATGGAACACCGATCTTGCCTGTTTAAAAAGGCGTATTTAATTTTGATTATCTTTTGTTTTCCTTCGTTCAGTAATAGGAAAATTGTTGCGAAATTTAAATGTCCTTAATTAGGATATTATTGATAGAAATTTAAGATACAAAATGCTGGAGGTGAATATAATGATGTGTAGTATTTTGTCTTAAGGATTTTAGAAGTAGGAAAAAACATAATTTTTTCAGAGTTAGTAATAAAAATATCGTACCAAATAAGGCAATATTCTTCAAAAACATTATTTAGGTAGGGCTCGCTGCAGTCTTGCACCATTTGTAGTGTGGTGTTCGTGTGAGTGTGTGCTCAGATAACACCGTCCTCTGTGTATCTGAAATTATTAACAATTAATATAATTTCATTCACACGTATACGCCATGATTGGCTGTTTCGAAAGCTATCAAGCGCTCTTAAAAATATTGTGTAGAAAAATAATTCCATTTTCAAAATCAACAAAATTCAAGAAACATTCAATTTTTTTACTGGCAATTCAAATTGTTATTTACAATAAAAAAGTTAAAAATAAACATTGAACGTGCGCTCAGACAGTAAACTGTATAGTGTATAAAAAATACTCACCTACCTGGTGGTTATGCCATCTTAAAGAAAATTGTTGAGAATCGTCATCCATTATCACACAATAAAAATATAATCCGATTGAGAACAGATCTGTCCGCTCAGTAAGCTCAGACAATAATATTGTTAACCGAATCCAGGCTATTTTATTTTAGTCGGCACGCCTGGAAAACCTGTAGCTACCTATTTCTGGAGCTGATTGTATTTATAAATCCAATGACATTCAGTGAGTGACGCGGCGACATACCAAAACTCATCCAAAAACAGATTTAGTAGCTCGATACGCTGATTGGCATCATTGTCTGCTTGTTTGCTCTGATTTATCGTTATAAAATGAATGTATTCAACCTCTTTTCATTAAAGCAGTTTTGGCGGCTGATTGCCTCCGTCTGTGGGCGAATTAAAAATGTACGCGTTTCCCGCCAATTCTGTTTGACAATCGTTTTCGTTTTATGAAATGATTTATCATTCATTTAAACCATCAGCGATTGTATCTCACTCATTTTTAAAATAAAAAGAAAAACATTTCGATAATATAAATAGACGGTGAATTATCTTGGGTTAAATATATTTGTAGAAATAATAGTCCACGGATCGATCGTACAAATCGAGTTCTAGAAAATGGCTAAAGAAAACAAGATTTCGGAATTATTGAACGATCCCGATTTCTTCGACTTGATAAAAGCAAAGATAAACAAGGATTTGTGTAATCTAAAGAAAATTGTAGATAATATAAATCAAATGAGAGGTTTGTAAAAATAATTTGAACTTAAAGTTTAAAGAAAGGTCGAGAGAAAATCCCTTTCTCTCTGACCATTTTTACCGTAAATCTGTGCTTTTAATATTGAGTTTATTTTGAACAATAAAGGAAAATATATAGTTAATTTACTTGGTTACTTCTGCCACAGAAGTAATTATTTATTTACACACTCATACTGTTAGATGACATGCATTGGTAATTAATATTGTTTTTTTTTTTTTTTATTTTATGGTGTAAATTAATATTGTTTCCTCCGTAATATAAATGTTTTTACTATTATCAAAGACAATTTGCTATCACCATAGACTAGCAGACTAGTATATGAGACATTTTTATTTTTTACTGCAACAAAAATACTGAATACATGTGTCTATTTATGCGCCGAACTATTAAAATAAGTACCTGCTATCCATTACCTACTTTAGTAACTCTAGTACTTGTGTCCACTACTTAAAAAAACATTTAATTACAATTATGTAAATCAGGATATTATTTTCAATGTATTATATATACGCTATAGGTTTAAAGATTTAGATAACTCCGTAGAGAGGTAACGAATTACGAGAGAATGTATCACAGTAAAGTTACACCGTCCCTGTAGAGCGGACCAAACTTTTGAATTAAAAATACCTCTA